GGTGATAACTATCACCTACAAGCCAAGATCTATCATACCAAATCATAAAGAAAAATAAGAACAACATAAAGGTGGAGGCATACATGTCTCCACTGCAGCGGAATAACTTTGATCTTGTCTCTTGGGGTTTGTAGTCTTGTATCAAAAGTGGCTATAGAGTTGATCAAGAATAGGCGTGGTTCCTCGAGCGAACTTTTGGTGCGACGGTCGCATGTGCGACTTCTTTTCAAAATTTGTCATTTAAATTTATTTTTTTCTTTTTTCTTTTTTTCATCCCACTTTCATTTTCTTTCTCCATGTTTGTTTGGTGTTCCCTACTGAATAAATAGTACCACCGTGGTACCTTAAAAGTTTCCGTGGTTCCCCTTAACCTATCTCCACTAGGTGCAACGCATCCAACTGTGGTGGATGATTGGTTGGCTTTTGATTCATATTAGTTATGTTTGGATGAGCTTTTGTAAATGACTTTTTTCAAAAATTAAAGATATTTTACATTTGGATGTAATACACGAAAAACACTTTTAATTAAATATATTATTTAGATGTTAAAATTAAAAAGTATTTTTTATTTATAAAATTACTTAAAAGAACATATAAAAATAAATTATGAACTCAATTTTGGTTGTGGCGGAGATTGGAGACAATAATGGTGAGAACAATGACAAAGTGGTAGCAGTGACGACAATAATGATATGAGTGGTGGCAGGGTGGTAATGATGGCTAGGTATGATGGTGGTGGTAGTGATGACAGTGGTATTGATGGTGACCTATGATGCACGGACACGGACACGGGACACGACACGACACGCCGACACGTTAATTTTAAAAAATGTCATATTTAGACACGTTGGGACACGTTTTGATATTAAATAAAAATTTTAATATATATAATATGATTTATATTTAATACATATAAGAGTCTGTAATAAGTCATATAACCAATTAAATATTTAAATTTCATAACATAAATATAAATATAAATAATTTTTCGTAGTTTGTTAATTTTTAATGTCAACTTTTATAACAGAAAAAAATTAGTTTATAAATTATTTCTTTTATATTTAGTTAACAAGATAAAATTAAAATAAAAAAAAATTAAAAAAAACGTGTTCGAGCGTGTCCCCAAATGTTGACCGCGTGTTGGACGCGTGTCCGTGTCGAACACGTGTCCGACACTTAAATTTCAAAAAAATTCGCGTGTCCGTGTAACGGAGATGGTGACAACAATGATGGTGATGACAACAAAGGTGAAATTGGTTGGTGTTGGGGTGGTGGCAACAACAGGCAAAAAAATTAATTTATTGCTTTTTTAATAAAAAAATTACGAAAATATAGTCATTTTGAAATTATTTACGCAAATATAGCAGTCAAACACGCCCCCACATGGGCGTGACTGGTTGAAGAGAGACACTCCCAATTTGGGCGTGACCCAGGAAAGAGACACTCTTCATTGGGGCGTGTTTCACCAAGTGTTGCCACGTGTCACAAGAGTCGACAGTTTGATCGTAAAACTTTGGAAGTCCATAACTTTTGACTCGGGTGTCCGATTTAGGTAATTTTTTTTTTATTCCACATAACTTTTCGAGATCTACGTAATGACACCTCATTTGGCATATTTTGTCTGTCACAAATTTTTTTTTGAATTTACAACAATGATACCGTAAGAACGTTTAAACCCAAATTAATAAAGAGAAAATCACTTTTTAATTAGGAGAAGGTTAAAACCCAAATTAATAAAGAGGTAGTAACTATAACCTTCTCTTATTTTCTAACCTAATTAAAAAGTGATTTTCTCTTTATTAATTTGGGTTTAAACGTTCTTAAGGTATCATTGTTGTAAATTCAAATTTGTTTTGTGACAGACAAAATATGTCAAATGAAGGTGTCATTACGTAGATCTCGAAAAGTTATGTGAAATAAAAAAAAATTACCTAATTCGGACACCCGAGTCAAAAGTTATGGACTTCTAAAGTTTTACGATCAAACTGTCGACTCTTGTTACACGTGACAGCACCTGGTGAAACACGCCCAAATGAAGAGTGTCTCTCTCCAAACTACTCACGCCCCTTTTGGGCGTGTCTCTCTCCTGATCACGCCCCATGTGGGCGTGTCTCTCTCCTGATCACGCCCCATGTGGGCGTGTCTCTCGTATGACTCAGGTTCCATATGGGCGTATCTCTCTCCATTGCAACACGTCCCATGAGGGCGTGTTTGAGTGCTATATTTACGTAAATAATTTCAAAACGACTACATTTTTGTAATTTTTTATTAAAAAAGCAAGAAATTAATTTTTTTGCCAGCAACAACAATAATAATGATGGAAGAGGTGGTGGTGATAGTAGTGACGCCATAAGGAATGAGATTGGTTAGAAACTTAGAATTGAGCCAAATTTAAATTTTGAAAAAAAATATTTGTGTTTTGACTTTTATTTTCTAGAAGCATAAGATTAACTCAAAAAAAGTAGGGCTTTGATTTTTTTCTTTTATATATATATATATATATATATATAGGGTAAAGTGTGTGTCATTTTAAAGGATGTAAAGTTGTGTCATTTTAAGAGAAAGAAAGAGATAGATAAATGAAGAAAGAGAGTTGATAAAAAAAATAAAGGTGTGGATTCACTTTTTTGTGAGAGTGAAAGTATATAAGTTGTGTCATTTAAAAAAATAAATATTTTTCTCATATATATATATATATTGAGAAGAATTTTTTTTTTTTTATATAAAAAAATAAATCTAGGAAGTAAAAAAGAAAGAAAGAAAACATCCGTACGCTCATAATTTTCATTAGGATGTCACATTTTTTTGCTTCTCCCCTAGTGGAGTGCGTTCAGCTCTTCATGGATGACGTGGTACGGATTAGTATACATCGGCTATGCCTCCCTGAAATGTAGGCTTTGTTGTTTTGTTTTAATTTCCTTTTATGTATCGAAAACAAATCTGAAAATAATTAAATAATTAATAACATGATTGATAAATAATGTGAAAATAACTAAAAAGTAAAATAAAAATATTAGTATACTAATTAATGTATTATAATTAGCGAAAAGATGCATTCATTATATTAGAAAACAGAGTTTTCATCATTTAAATTATTTGTAAACTTATATATGGAAATTTAGGTTATTCATGGATTGAGCTAGATTGGAAATTTTGGTATTCATAAAACAATGAGGGATTGATTTGGATTGAAGATGCGAATTCCACCAACTAAACATACACGTTCGGGTCCATGAACATAAATTATTATTCTTAAATGGGAAAAAAAAAACTCTGTAGATTAAACATGTTAAAATCATTTAAACTCAAAATAAAAAGCCAATAACCATACATAAATTATATATAATTATTTATAACTCTCTACATAATCTTAATCTAACTCTCAATTGCATAAAATCTAACAAAAATTCTTCAACAAAGAAGTTCACATGAACATAACAACACAACTTAAAAAAGAAAAATGAGATAATGACTTTTCCTTTTGTTTTTAAACGTATTCTAAATACAAATACAACGAATTGCCTTAAAATTATTATTCTTGTAGGTAAAATAATGAGGAAAAAAACAGTATATAGCAGATAGCACTGTAAGTATAGAAAAATAAAATAGTTCATAGATTAATGGGCCGACCCGTCCAACCTAAAGCCCGTACTCCGTAGACTGGGAAGGTATTGACAGTCTTCTTGGAGGGAAACCATTGGGCCATTCACTTTTTTTTATAGTGTATAGGTAGGAGTTTAATTTTTTTTTTTTTTATATCAACCATAATTACCTGACGAGTAGGCAATAACGAAGCAACTTGGTAACCAGTTGGTGCCTTGGCACTGAGAATATCTTTGGTATTACAGATGCATCGAAAACTCAGTGCATCTTTCACTGATATTGTGACACGTGTCTTACTTTATATCAAATCACTTTCTTTCCTAATTTTAAAATAAATTATTTATTATTGATTTGATAAAAATAAAACACGTGTCACAATATAAATGAAAGATGCACTGAATTTACGGTGCATCCATAGCACCAAAGAAATTTCCCTTAGCACCAGTTGCTTTTCAAAAATGATATATGTTTTTTTAAAAAAAATTATGGTACGACTTTGACATTGTTTGAGTTTTTAAAAATGGTACAACATTGTTTTCTTTGCCTCAAGATCCAGTGCATGCAATCCTGGTTTTTTTGGATGGGATGAAAAGAAGTGCTAATCTTGATGTCTCTGCTGCAGGGGCTGATGGCATTTCCCTCGTTGGGAATTCTGGACAGCAGATTGATGAATATCAGGTTAAAATTTTTGTTGATGGTGCCTGTAAGCTAGCCTCCAATATAGGATCCAGTGGTGGGTTTCTTTGCTCCTCTATAGGTGAATGGAAAGGTGGTTTCTCTTACAATATAGGCAATTGTTCTTCCTTGGAAGCTGAATTATGGGGGATATATCATGGCTGTAAATTGGCAAGTGATATGCAGTATTCAAAGGTGTGGATAGGCTGTGATAGCAAAGAGGCTTTACTTTGTTTGGAGGAGAATGATGAAGTTTGTGGTTTCTCATACTTGATAGGCAAAATTCGAGAAAGTGGCTCTGGCCTTTGAGAAATTCCAGTTGGAGTTTGTCCCAAGAGAATCCAATTCTTGTGCAGATTACTTGGCTAAATTAGGATTTAGTCTCAAGGGTGAAGAGTTGAGGTTACACTCCTATCCCCCTGATGATATGTTGAAGTTTTGGTTAGAATTTAGCTCCATTTTGTTGATGGAGCATGTTTGTTTGTATTTGCAGCGTTTGACTGTTTAGTTTTCTTTGGGCTTGGCCCTCCATTTTTATCAAAAAAAAAATAAAAATGGTACAACATTAGCATTGATTGGGTTCTGGCTAGGTTTTTTGGCATTTGCTGAGTTTATTTACGGGCTATGCCACTGCGAATAAGATTTTCCAAGTATTTTTGCAAACTTCAACTCTTTTTAGTCGAGTGCGAGACTTGCTCATAATTAAGAAAGAAAAAAAAGTAGTAATCTTTATTCCACAAACTTGTTAACTGAATCTGAATTATGTTTTTCCGTCAATATATTCTACAACTGTGGTAGGAGGAATATTAACAAGTTTTCTTAACATATACATGAACAATATTTAGTGTAACAACTAAATAACAATTGCATGTAAGTAGCGAAAACCAAAGAATTCTTTCCAGGTCCATTCCTATTTTCCTTCAGCAGCATAAAGAGCTTTGATTTCCTCAACATCGTCAAAGCTACCAAGGAATATGGGAGATCGTTCATGCAACTTCTCTGGAACCAAATCAAGTGCCTGTTGACATAGATTTACCACTTCATTGTCAAAGGATGCATTTATAATCTAATTAAAAAAACCAATATGAAGTCTCTTGTTTTTCCAGGTCCATTTATAATCTCAAAGGAATTCCCATTTTGCAAATACAATTGAAATCAAACAGGTTAAGTAATTTCAATTTGCAAAGGAGCACGTAGGAGTGAGAGTTTAACAATTTTTTTCTACCCATTTTTTAGTAAATTACCCGTTGTTTGCCAGTGAAAGCTTGTCCTCCTGCTTGTTCCATCAAGAATGACATTGGGAAGACTTCATAGAGCACACTGCACCAAACAAAGCAATCGATAATTATGTCAAAAGTTCAGAAACCATAAACAGTATATCACGGTTGGTTATGTTACTCAGGAAAATAAGGCACTAAGTTGAAAATGGCATTACCGCAGTTTCCCATTTGGACTCTTTTTATCACCAGGGTACAGAAAGATACCTCCATAAAGCAATGTGCGGTGAACATCAGCTACCATGCTGTTAATTTACAAAAATCACAGACACAGAAATGTCATTCAGTGGTCACATTCAGGTGCAATAGTTTATGATGATAATACAAGGACAAATTATTTAGAATAATGATTACTGTTTTGGATCATATTACATTTATTTTTATCAACACTTTTATTAAATTAATTGTCCCTTGAGTTGGTTCTTTAAACATATCAAACTGAGAAAATGTTACCCTGTTGAACTTCAGTTTTATGAGTCAAGTAGCTAAACAAAGCATGACTACTTTCAACCAAAAAGAGAAGGAGAGATACAAACTACAGCTGCTATAGTCGGAGTAAGTAATGATTATTTTCCAAAATTAGGAATTCTATGGCATTGAAGGTTATATCTGTTTTTCCTTAAATGACAATACATCACACTTCATTATAGAGCTATCCATTATAAGCAATGGAATAAGGATCACATGTAAAGGATAAGTCGTATATAGGCTGTAATTTGTACATGTTATATCAAGGTAGCATTTTGCATAACCAACTACGAGGAGGACTAAATCAAGCAAATTAGACCTCTTGAAGGATTGAGAATCCACTATACCTTCCAATATATCTTAGCGACTTTGGTGATGAACCATCTTTTGGAAACTTGCATTTCTCCACATACCTGAACAGAAGTAAGAAAGGAAATCAAAGATTGTCACAAATTGCATTATAGTGACGGGAAACTTTGTAACATTATTGGATTCATACATACTTGGTAGTAGGACCATCCCAGTTTTTGGCATTTCCTTCATTCACTGAATAGATCTTGCCTTTCTTTGGGATCTGAACGGTGAACCACAGATCAAATCAAGCAATTAACATATGACTCAAATAAGCCACAGATGGTGTCAATAAAGATCATGCAGGTCCACAATCCTTATATTCTATATGAAGATTCATTTACTAACTTCTCATTAAAAGATAGACAAATACTAACGAAGAGAACAGTCAGCCAGTAACAGAGCTCCAAATGCTCAACTAATAGAAAGTCTTAAGAAGGATATTTTGTTTAACATGTGGATGTGCCTTACATTCTTAACACCAAAGGATTTAAACAGGCTAATCTTTTTCACCAAAAAGATATTTATGACTTCATAAATGGAGATTATTCAAGGTGATAAAATCCTGTCTGTTATCTGAATAGTCAATAATAAATATACTAGATCAGCTGTCATCTTAACTAATTAAGATAAAAATAAATTCAGCTAGTTTATTTGGTCTAATAAAGCCTCATCCATTACACAAGTCAAAACACTGCAAAAGTCAGCTCTGTGGCAAATTTCAAGGACAAGAGAAGTAACTTGTTGAGATTTTAGTTTGAACAATTGAGAATTAATCACATGTAGGCATTGTGATAGCGATCCATGACCAGTGTGGACGCAGGATTATTTATAATAGGAGCTGAAAATAAAATTTTAAAATTATATGTATTAAAAAAAATTAAAATTTAGGGAGGGGCGACTCAATCCGCCCCTGTCCATGAGTAGATAGAATTTGATACCTTGATGTCAGGGTGAGTTAGAATGAATTCCCCAAGTGATGGATCAAGGGTGAAACCATTAACACCAGCTCCGGTGCTTAACACGAGCTACAATGTATCCCAAATTAGTAATTAAAAAAGAATTCAGAATGAAGTCAAAGGAATTGAGTTTATTCTTTCATCTAAAAAAGTAGTCAATACAAACATTCAAACTGAGAAAATATACTAATATCATTAGTTAAAATTGATCAGCAACTACTTACCAAAGATAAAGAAAAATTGATCAGCAACTTATAGGCCCCCCAAAAAAAAAATTATAACCAAAGGGAAAAAATGGCTAAAAGAGGAAGGAAAAATGTGAAATAGAAATTGTAATAGGCTTAATTACCAAACAAAACCAAGGTCTGAGCAACAAAAAAGGATAAGGATTTAATATACCGTGCAAGAGCTTCCATACATACAATAACCAGCTGCTAACATGTTCTTCCCAGGTTGCAAAACATCTTCCAAGGTTGGTTCCTGGTCTTCTTTCACCAAATAAATCCCAAAAATCTAGATGAAAGAAAATACTTAATTGACAACCGCAATATTCTAGTTAATCTGGAATACTGATCCATATATGCTTAATTAGGAAAGATGGATGTAGGAGAGACCATACTGTGCCAATGGAAACACCACAATCAATGTTAGAGGAACCATCCAGTGGGTCAAAAACAACACAATACCTACATAATAACAAAATTTGGTACTAACTGATTAGACTAAAAAAACCAAGGCTAAACAATAAGGAACAAAAGCACTGCTAGGCAATAGATGTGTTAACAACTTTCCACGCTTAGAAGGCTCCACAAATGTTGCCTCCTCATCTTCTTCAGACACCAAGATGCACTGGGAAAAAGGTCTCACCATCAGCAAAAGTCAATATATACACACACACACACACACATATACATATAGACCTTAGTTGAAGATACATGAAATTAATCACATACTGATAACTTACTGTTCGTCCACTGCTTATCAAAGCCTTTATAAAGACATCATTGGAAAGGACATCCAGTTTCTTTTGCTCTTCACCCTTTATTCCAAATAACAAACAAATGGAATAAAAATGTGCACCAAAATCAGAAAAAAAAAGGAGAATCAATCCATCACATCATACAATAGAGAGCTTCTACTTGCCTGAACGTTGGTCTCTCCAGCAAGTCCAATAAGCTTAGCAAGACCAGCCTGCATAATCATTTAACCCAATTCATCAAAAATGAGTAAAAAGAAAAAGAAAAAGGAACTATTCAATCTTGGGAATGAATGCATGGATGTTTTTTTCAATATAACTGCATCTTTATAAACTCAAATAGAATAGTCATACTTGAAGGGAAAATAAACTCAAGACTAAGGTTAATGAGGAACCTTGCTAACAGCAGAGCAAACGAACTTGCAGCCTAGAACAATGTGACTGAGCAAGATGGTGAAATCACCACGAGACTCAGGGTGCTTGGATTGCTCGTTCAGCACGAAACGGGTTATGGTCATGAGGTCAGTGCGTTGTGCATCGGCACTGTGATCCATATTATCTGGTTTTGTGTTCGTGGTGTGCAAATGCAAGTGCAAGTGCAACCCCTTCTTCACTCTCAAGGAACCAAACCAAACCAAACCCAATAAGTGAGTTTGGATATGGCGTTATAATATGTATATTTGAATATAAATAGATAGATAGAAAGAGAGATGGGGCTATCTGCGGGGAATGGAAGTTTCGAACGACACGTGGAGAGCTTTGGAAGAGGGAGTGAGCTCGTGGTGGTGACGATGGATAACGATTTTTGTCGACATCTTCGTGTGCTGCTTCCTAGGTTCTATCATGCCCTCCCCTCTTGTCTTACGTCAATTCAAACGCGATATGACTGTTGGAATTGACACAGTCACACCAAAAAAATTAATTTAATGTTTTTTAATAAAGGGAATGGTTATACTTACCACTTTTTTTCTTACTACTTGTTACTATCCAATCTTAACCGTTGATTTCTGCAAATCAAACGGTTATAATTTATTGGGTTATATTTATTTATTAATTATTAATTTTAATAAATTATAACCGTTAGATTGACGAAAATCAACGGTTAAGATTTGGTAGTAACAAGTAGTAAGAAAAAAAAAAGTAGTAACTATAACCTCTTCTTTAATAAATTAATACGAAATTTATGACAGTTTTGAAAATTATTACATATGTATTGCACAATATCACGTTCAATTTGAGCGTCGTCAATCACGCCCAAATTGGACGTCAAACAAGAGGCAATCACGTCTAATTTAGGCGTCACACCAATCACGCCTAATTAAAGCGTTATTAAAGAGGCACTCACGCCTAATTTAGGCGTCACTTATCAGGTGTTGACACGTGTCACATTTTTTTTTTTCAAAAAAAAAGTTAACAATTTAATCATAAAACTTCTGAAGGCTATAACTTTTGACTCGGGTATTCAAATCAGGTAATTATTTTTTTGATTCCACATAACTTTTCGAGATCTACGCAATGATATCTCATTTGACATATTTTATTTCTCACAAACACAATTTAAATTTACAAAAATAGTATTATAAAAGCGGTTAAACCCAGAAGCCTCTTAGTTCTGGGTTTGTGATTTAATATAAAAAATAAATGAAGATTTGATGTGTGATTTAAATTAAAAAAATAAAAAAATTTATTTTTATTATAAAAAAAATTTGGTTTGTGATTTAAATTAAAAATAACAATTATTAATAATAAGGAAAACAAAATAAATAATTTAAACTCAAAAATCAATTTGAAAAATCTGTATTAACAAAGGAAATAATTAAATAAAGGGAATGATATTGTAAAAATCAAGTTGTGTTACTACCATATTACTACTAATCAATCTCACCGTTGGATCGATTATGTTGATCCAACGGTTGTATTTATTTTCTTCTTTACATGGTCATGATTTTCCAAATTTAATACTTTATATTTATTTTCACCTTTGTATGGTTATGATTTCTCATATTTAATGCTTTCACTTTAAATATAGGGAATCATAACCATACAAAGATGGAAATAAATATAATCGTTGGATTGATTGGTAGTAACATGGTAGTAAGTTAGTAACACAACTTGGTTGTTACAATATCATTTCCCTTAAATAAATATTCTAAATCTCTAATGAAGAAAGATTTTATTTTTAAAAAATATTCATAAGTAGGGGTGAAAGTGGGCTGGGCTGGGCCAAGCTTTGCCCCGAAAAGCCCAAGCCTATGTCAAAAAATTTTAATTTGGCCTGGCCCAAACCTAGTACGAGTCTAACTGTTAGCCTAACTTGGCCCGTTTATAAAAAAACAAATGGCCTGGCTCAGCCCGTTAGCCTGTTAATTTTTTTTTTTTTTTGTAAATAATTTTTAGTAGAACCATGAATCAACTTTACACAATATTCAAATTATGTTGTTAAATCAAAAATCATAATTTCAACGTCCAAACAGAATCATGAATCACAACAAAACTCATACAATCTACATTTAAGTCACTTTCAAAAGCAAAATGCTCAAACTAAATAACATATATTTCATCAGATCCAACAAACAAATCCATACTAGGTAAACTAAATAACTACATGAATCCAACAAACACATCATAATGTTTGTAGTAAGTATAATATCTCCCAAAAACCATTTAATATATTCATATACACAATCTAATATGCTGAGATGTTGATTCTTCCTGCATAAGAAATAAAATCAAATTTCCATTAAAATATAATCAAATATAATTAAGTTATAAATAATTGTAATTGATTAAATTTATATCTGTAACCACTCAATTTTGTCCTCATATATAAAAATATATATATATATATAAATATAAAAAATAAAAATGTGAAATTTCTATTATCATTATTTTTGTTTTATAAAAGAAAGAAGAAAAATAGAGAATAAAAAATATTAATAAAAAAAACAGTAAGTAAAAAAGAGATATTGATAAAAAAGGAAAAAAGAAAAAGTAGTAGTTCATATTTTACAATTTATTAAAAATAATAATAATGATAATAAGATACCTTTCTTGATAAAAAGGAAACGTTGTTGGCGGTTTTTCAAACCCCATATACCCAGCATCCTTCATTATAACATCCCACGGTGCTATAGCTGTATTTAGCTTGGAGAAAAGGAAGTAGAGGAGGCTAGATAGCAGAGATAGGGCGGTGAAGAATGACCATAGAAGGGTTGGAGGGGGTGTCTAAAAAATATTATTATTCTAAAAGTTCCACCGCCTTCATCATGATATAAAAGAGAAGGAGAACGAAGAAAGGGGGAGAAAAAATGGCAAGTACCAATGACACCATAGCCTTTTCAGCCATGATATAGAAAAGGAGCACGAAGAGAGGGGGAGAGAAAGCATAAAAAATTTCTCTACAATCTTCAACCACTATCAACCCATACACCTTCAAACCCAAATTCAAAAAAAATAATACGGTAATAAGTGTGTGGGTGCCATTTTCTGAAACACCATCAAACCCAGCCAGATTATTAGTGCCTCTACCAGCCACTGGGTGCACCAAGCAGAGTACCGCCGCCTAGACTCCACCCACCGTCGTGCACAACTCCAATCCGCGAGTCACCCATAAAGGCACCTCTCAGTTTTGTGGAATAATCCCATCTAGCTATTGTGCACTATCTCAGGTTAGTGTGCAAATTTAACTTTTAGCTTATGTTGGTTTGACTATCGGTTGTAGGCAACCTACTGCACAAAGATATGAACTATTAATAAAGTAATATGAAATGCCATGATGATAGTAGAATTTTTATTAATAAAATAATGAATCTGAAATGTCATATTTAGTTCTTGTACCCTTGCATAGGATAATATAGATGCCTGGCCATGCGATGATGCCTCTATGACTAAGTCAAATGTTTTATCATTCCTTTTTGTATACACTCATACACTGTAAAACTCCTCATATATCGTTGTCTCCCACTAATCCATTGGTTTTAATTTTATTTTATTATTCAATATCGTTTGCAGACCATTTTGAGGGGTACATGGTTTTGATAGAGATTAAATGAAATATGGTACTGTTGTCATCTTGTTAGCATGTTAGGTGTATTGTTTGAATTCAATAAAATAATAATAAAAATGTAAAAAGCAAGTTATAAAGGAATTAGTAAACTCATGTGCTCAAGTAGCGACCATTGTGTTTATTATTATTTTATTTAGAAAAATCCAAATCATGCTTAAACATTGGGAGTAATGGCTTATTCTATTAAAGATTAACAGTAGGTTTAGTTCTCTCTTTAAAAAAAATCTGGATTTCTTCTATTTAATAACTTTTCACGATTGGGCTAATGTTTTAATTTCTTACTATTCTGTTAGCATATAATGATAAAGTAAATAACGACTCAAAGTCTAGGGAATTAGCTGAGTTGTGACAACTTGTTAATCCCATTATTAAATCATTTCGACTGTGACAGTCCGATGATTTTAAACCATTTAGAAATAATAAACAAACAAAAAAATAAAGTTTTATTTAAAACTATTTGATTTTGGGTTAATTAAAACATAAAGAATAAAAAATTAGTTCACCATCAATGAAAATGGGAGTCAGCTGAGCCGTGACGGCTTGTTAACCCCACACATTTTGTTTTGACTCATTTTTGCCGTGACGGCTTAGTGATTCATAATTTATTCAAATTTATCATAAAATTTACAATAACAAAAAATAATAATATGAATATTATTATTCTTCTAAAAAGGTATTAGCTGAGTTGAGACAATTTGTTAATCCTACAATTATCGTTTCAGATTATTTTAGCTGCGACAGTTTGATAGTCTGAAACCATCAAATTCAAAACTTTCAAATTAAAACTACTTTCAAAAAAAATAAAATCAATCAACACACAAATATTTTTTACAGAACGACGTAGCTTTGAGTTCCCTATTGTACCGAGGGATACGTCGGAGCGGGACTCTTCCCGTCAAGCACAAAAATACATTTTCAAAATTAGTTTTCTTTTCCAGCAATCGATTTTATTTAATTTTTTTGGGTGAAATAAATATTTAAAATCTTATCAATAATTTGCACAACTAATATAAGGTAACCGTTTTTTTTTAACGGACGGTGTAGGGTGTTAATACCTTCCCTACTCGTAATCGACTCCCGAACCCATTTCTACTGTCAAAGACCAATTGTCTTTAAAAAAAGGTTTTTTCAATGTTTTCCTAAATAAACCTTGGTGGCGACTCCATTGTTTTAACCATTAAATATCTTTCGCCATTACGTTGCGATACGGTTGCGACAATATCTTTTGTTTTTTCTTCAAGACATACTTATTCTGTTTTATTTTATTTGAAATAAATAGTACAATATAGGCCGGCCTGTAGGCTTATAGGCCAGGCCTTGTGAAAGTGGGCCTACGGCCTTTTTATTAAACGAGCTCTTTCAAAACCCAAGTCCGGCATGTTTTACGAAATATACTAAATCAGGTCTGGCCTGACGTAGGCCGAGCCATAGGCCCCTGTAGGCCGGCCCGACCCAATTTCACCCCTATTCATAAGTCATCATTAATTTCAGACCACGAATTAAATCACAAATCAAATATTTATTTATTTATTTTAATTTAAATCACAAATCAAATCTTTATTTATTTTTTTATATTAAATCACAAACCCAGAACTCAGAGGCTTTTGAGTTTAACCGCTCTTATAATATCATTCTTGCAAATTTAAATTATGTTTGTGAGAAATAAAATATATAAAATGAGATGTCATTGCGTAGATCTCGAAAAGTTATGTGCAATCAAAAAAAGAATTTTCTGATTTGGATACCCAAGTCAAAAGTTATGGCATTAAGAAGTTTTATGATTAAATTGTTAATTTTTTTTTTGAAAAAAAATGTGACACCGACACGTGTCAACACCTTACAAATGACACCTAAATTAGATGTGATCGCCTCTTTAATGACGTCCAATTTAGGCGTGATTGGTGACGCCCAAATTGCGCGTGATATTGTAATAAATGTGTAATTATTTCTAAAACTGCCATAAATTTATAATTAATTTATTAAAAAACATTAAATTAATTTTTTTCCCACAATCACACACACAAAATCGAAAAGAGAGAAAAGGAAAAAAATAGGAGACAACTATTAATTGTTTCATCCAACTTACACTACGTTAAGCATATCTGTATTATATCATAGCGAACAATTCTGAATGCAGATATATTAACTACCTAACAAAGACCATGCAAATTTTAAGAAATCAAATCATGTTCGGTTTGCTTAATTAACAACTGTGTATGATCAAAATTATATTACATCCACCATTTCATGATAAAGAAATACACAAAAGTAACTAAGTAAGTTTAATACAAGATCGATCTATGAGTAATAATGCGAGCTACCAGCATAACATTTTTTTATGATTATAATCACTATTGATTAAAATAAAATCAACAATTACAAAAAACATTAAATAAAAGCCATTAATTTAATTTTGATCAAACAATAATAAAAATAGTTGTAAAAGATTATAAGAAAATAATAATAATAAATATTACCTTCCTTTATAAATATAAGGGCAGAGTTTAAAATTTATTATGTGTAGATATAACTTAATAAATGTGAGCTAACTGCATAACATTTGTTTTTAGGGTTTATCATTTTTGTTTGTTGCATAATTTTATTTTTCTTATTACATTTCACATAAATACATAAAAGTGAATGAATTTCACTAATTTTTTTTTTTTATAATAGGATCCATTTACCTTATATGAGCGTGAGAGAAAAAAAGTTCATGCTAAAAATACTTTTTTGTTTTGTTTTTAACAACATGTAGAGATCCATATCTGCTATTTATGCTTCCTGTATCTTTCACTTAAATGGTATTTATTTTTAACTTAGATAAAATATAAAAGAATGTAAATTAAAATAAAAAGAGTATATAAGGTGAAAAAAAAAAAATATGCATAACTGGATTTAAGTAAATTTATTAAAATATAAATTAAAAAAATTAATATTATAAAAACGTATAATTAATTTCAATAACTGAATTTATAATAAAAATATGCTCGTTCAATAAGGAAAATTTATTAAAATTTAATTATTTTAAATTATAATTCTCCTTTTAAATTAAGGAAAATTATAATTATCTTTTTCCCAACAGGAAAAACAGAATCGCTTTTTGTTTCCCCTCCGTTAAAGGAAAGCATCGCCGGTGGCTTCAACTAAAATCTGCACACCGAAAAATCACAACGTTCTATTCTCCATAGTACCCTCCACTTTTCACTTAAATCACTCTCTTTACCACTGCACTTTTCCTTTAACTCAGGGTCCACATAGTCATTTCGCTACCAATTACCTCTACCCAGATATCTCTAGACGACACCGTTTCATCCACTCCCTCCCACCGTCGTGGCTTCACCTTCGCCAAATCCAGCTACATCGGCCACAGTCACAGATTCATTTCCTTTTTTGCCCCTCCCGGTGCTCCGAATTCCAATTCGCACCAACCGCAGCTCTATTTCGCTAAAAAACCGAATCCAGAAGCTTCAATTTTCGATCGTCGCGAAATGGATTCCTAAAACTTCTTCTTTTAGGGTTTTTTAGGATTGAAAGTTTTGATTCTTCTGGGAATGGCGGATCAAGGAGAAGACGAGGATTTAAAAATGGCGATTGGGATGAGCATGCAGGGCGCAGCGCCGGAGCCGAAGCGCAGCAAGCCTAGAGAAGCAGTTGCCGGGGTAGTTTCGGGATCGCCGGAGGATTCGCTGGAATCCAAGACCCGGCGGCGGGAGCTCATGGCGGCGGCTGCCGAGAAGCGTATGGTTGCGACCGCGAGGGTTTCGCCTTCGGCGCCGCCCGCAGTTAAAGGGGGAAGGAAGGGTGGTGAAGTTGGGAGGAAAGAGGAGGAGTTGCGTTTGAAAGGTGGGAACTTGAGTAAGGAGTTGTCTGTTGAAGAAGCTAATCAATTGTTTGTTATGTTGTTTGGGAGTGAAGTCTCAAAGGGCATTCTTGCACGGTGGTGCAACCAGGGAATAAGGTAGTTGCTGATGCTGATTATTGTTGTTGTTTTGTGTTGGTCTGTTTATTTTGAAAGAATATGTTAAGTCATTTTCATGCGGTTATTTTGGCTGAGGCATGCTTGATGTTTTAACATGGAGTTTTATTCAAAGGACTCAGGTTTATGATTTGAACTTAATAAGTGTCAACATATCTAATATGTCTATATTTATAATTTTGAATTATCTTTTAAATTATCTGAGGTATATGGATATGTTGCCTCGTGTAGGGTTCACCGAGAACTTGACTTTATAGTGACTCAACTCTCTAACATGTTCATGTGTTGAACCTCTGTCGAATGTTTTATTTTTTATGATGATGTAGTTGTAATGAATTCGTGAACCTTAAAATCCTCTGTTGTTGCTTTCTACCAGGAGTTGCAGTTTTTTTCTGGGTTTAAGGAAATGTTTTCTGTTTCCATTTTTTTGTTTTCACTAATAATTACAGAAATATCACCTTGTTTTCACTTTGTTTCCTGTTTTCAAATATTTGTTAAGGAAATTGTGCAACCTTTTGTGATTCACATTCCTGCTTGTGCTAATATTGCTGTTAATATTCTCCTGCTGTCTGTGTTCCTTTTTTGTATGTGATTGGAATCTTAGTTATTCTGGCTAGGACATAATGCGCATTCATTGTAAATTTATGCAAATGCTATTGTTTGTTTGTTCTGAATCAGGATGTGTGTATATTCCTTGTTTGTTTGTGATTGGGGAGCGAGCTCAGTCTGAATTGTTACTTATACAATCTTAAAAAGTCCCATGACGTAACTGCTATGCCCTTGCTAATATTATATAGCAAACGTGGTTATTCTGGCATTTGAAATTGCAACATATTCCAATAAATAAATAAAAGTATTGGTACCATTTAATTTCAAAATAATGCGTTCTCCTGGTACTGAAGCATATAGTGGTTTCATATGTTTTTATATATATATGTATATGCTTTAATATTTCTACAGTGAATGTAGATAAGTTATTTACATTCACTCCCAAAACGACGTCGTTTTGAGTTGAAAAATTAAAAAATGTAATGAAAAATACTATTATAACCCTAAAATAAATTATAATTACAAAAATACTTTGATTTCCGTCCCAAAACGACGGGCTTAATGTAGATAACTTATCGACATTGACTGCAAAAAAAACGAACCCATATATATATATATATAAGGATATGTTATTCTACCTACCATTTTTTCTGCCTACCTTTGCCTACCACCCTCAAACACCGTTAGATCAGAATCTCAAGAAGAGAGAGAAAGATAAATATTAGTTAAGATTCTGATCTAATGTTGTTTGAGGGTGGTAGGCAAAGGTAGGCAGAAAAAATGGTAGGTAGAATAACCTATCCCATATACATATATATATATATATATATATGTATATGGGATAGGTTATTGTGCCTACTCCCTTTTTGCCTACTTTTACCTACCCCTCTCAACATCGTTGGATTACAATCTCATCTAACGGTTCAGATTCAAAAGTTAAATAAAACCTTTTTACTCTTTTTTTCTCTCTCTCTAACTCCACTCTTCTTCCCCCCCTTTCTCTGTCTCCACCCTTATTCTCTCCTCCCTTGCTTGCGATGAAGAAGACGTACTTGCAAATATCTCTCCCACTGGAAACCAGATACGTTGCTAAGAAACAAAATCCATGGTAGAATTCATGCCTTAACATCCACAAATTAAAAAAAAAAAAAGAAACCAAAATATTAAAAAGAACTACGATGCAAGCAAGAACAAATAATACGACATCATCTTTTTCTTTGTTAAAAAAACCAGGAATGACAAATATTATTAAAGATTCGAAAGCTGCAAACACCAAAGTATTCGTGCATAAACTCAAAATTAAGTATCTAATATTATCATCCTCGAAGAAAAGAAGAAGAAAATACAAATTTCTACAGTACTCTGCTTTTGTTACCCTTAGAAGAAAATAAGCCATAATTTAGGGCGTTGAATAATTAGGGTTGTTTGTGTTGAAACAATGGTAAATAAAATCAGATCGAATCGTTTAACACTACGTTTGTTAGATCACATTTGGAATGAGAGAGGGATAGTCTATTTAATGGAATCAAAAAGCCCTTTCCCATCTCTATTGGTTTAGGTTTCAGCGAGGCCTAGATTCTGCACAAAGATGGGATCAATCATCAGTCATCGACAAGCAACACCGCCGTAAAAAGGCAACAAAATCAAAAATCCAAATATACAGAAACCACCCTAAGATGGGAAAAGGACAAAGTTATCAATTTCATTCTGAGACGGAACGTGCTACATGAACCCTAACATGCTCTGGCAAATTCTATCACTTTAATTTATATACTCCAATTAACTTGTTCTTTTCCAATTCAGCCCTTCTCAGAATGCAAGTGCATGGACAAAGGATGAAGAATATTTTCGTAATCGTAAAATGTAGACTTGCGCGTCTTCTTCATCGCACACAAGCGAGGAGAGAGAAAGGGTGGAGTTAGAGAGAGAGAAAGAGCAGAGTTAGAGAGAGAAAAAAAAGAGTAAAAGGGTTTTATTTATCTTTTGAATCTGAACCGTTGGGATTGTAATCCAACGATGTTGAGAGAAGTAGGTAAAGGTAGGCAAAATGGGAGTAGGCACAATAACCTATCCCTATATATATATATGGAGTAGGATATTCTTACACCGGTGTAAGAGTTAGAAGTCTTACATTCAATCTTGACCATTGATCCACTTGTATCCAATGGCTCACATTACCAAAAAAATTGAGCCCTTAGATATAAGTGAAATCAACAGACAAGATTGAGAGTGTAACTTACACTGGTGTTGTAACATCCCGAGCGTTGACGAGGGCGGGGAGTGATTGCCGGTGCAAAAAGGCATGGACAAGGAACGACTCCTGACAGGCTTCCAGCGGGAGGTTACATGAATGAATGAATCGAATCGACACTCGAAAGAGAGGGATTCCAAAGACTGTGCAGGTATGAGACTGCACAGTTTGGGATAGCTTATAAGAATTAATTTGTACTACCTTTACAAACAAGATGCATCTACTTTTTGGTAATCCGGATCCGAAGAACTCCATAGTTAAGCGTGCTTGACTTGGGGCAATTATGGGATGGGTGACCTCCTGGGAAGTTTTCTCGGGAAGTGTGCGAGTGAGGAAAAAGCACGCTGAAAAGTCTCGTGTTAGTATGTGGGGATAGTCGTTGATTCTTGAAGCGGTCAGGCGTTACAGGTGTAAAATGATCCTGACTCTCTCTCTCTCTATATATATATATATATATATATATGGGAAACATATTTCTCTGGCAACTTGAGATAAGTTTATCTCCGGCCACCCCAAACTACGTCATTTTATTTATTTATTTCTTTATATTATTTGATTCACCTTTGAATGGTTATGATTCTTTTTTTCTCTCTCTTCCTTTATCACCGTTGATTCATCTTTGTACCGTTTTGATTTAGAAGCCGGAGATAAAATTATCTCAAGCAACTTGAGAAATGATAAGCACTATATGTATCAGGATAATGCTGCTCATCAGTGATTGCTTGATGGAATTAGTTTATTAAATAGTTGACTGATGAAAGGCAGGTTCTCTCTTTACGTACACCTGTCGTTGCTGTACGTAAAGTGGTGGCTGCAGAAATGATTTTACATATATATATATATATATATATATATGAGGTAGGATCCTTTGACACCAGTGTCAAATTTTAAATTTGACACCTTATTTGAGAGCCATTAGATAAAAAAAAATCAATGGTGTCACATGTTTACAAATCAGAGCCATTGATTTTTTCTGATCTAATGGCTCTCAGATGAGGTGTCAAATTTGAAGCCTCTCTCTCTCTCTCTCTATATATATATATAGAGAGAGAGAGGTAGGATCCTTTGACACCGGTGTCAAATTTGAAGCCTCTCTCTCTCTCTCTCTATATATATATATAGAGAGAGAAGTAGGATCCCTTGACACCGGTGTCAAATTTGAAGTTTGACACCTCATCTGAGAACCGTTAGATCAAAAAAGATCAATGGTGTCACATGCTTACAAATCAGAGTCGTTGATCTTTTTTGATCTAATGGCTCTCAGAAGAGGTGTCAAACTTCAAATTTGACATCGGTGTCAAAGGATCCTGCCTCATATATATATATATATGGAGAGAGATTTTTTGACTCTAGAGTAAGACTTACAACTCTTACTCTCCATCTCAACCATTGATTTCCGTCCATCTAACTGTTATTATTTATTTGATTAATTGTTATAGATAACCGTTAGATGGACGGAAATCAACGGTTGAGATGAGGAGTAAGAGTTATAAGTTTTACTCTAGAGTCAAAAGATCCCTCCCCTATATATATATATATATATATATATATATATATATATATGACTTGACATTTAGAGTCTTGGTGATCATTCAAAAAATAAATATGGAAAAGAGTTAACTAAGTAATAGGAATGTAGTAAAAGTAGAACTGCAAAAGTAAGCATCTTTTAGAAGATGATTGTTTACGTTCTTATTACTTATTGTGTCTCTGAATTTTATGATTTGATATGTGATTTACAATTCACAATTAAAAAATTAGAATGGCGATTCACCATATGAACAACTATTTCATCACCTTGACAGAATTTTCTTCTCTCATTGTCATAATAAAAATATCTCTAACTGTGTAATTTTCGCTGCTCATCAGTGATTGCTTGATGGAATTAGTTTATTAAATAGTTGACTGATGAAAGGCAGGTTCTCCCTGCCTGTGTGTGTTTGCATAATAGTAAAGACTGAACAAAGTTGCTGATAAAAAGCAGGAAGAAAAATAATGAAAGACATTTTAAAATGCAGCATTTCTCTTTAATGTAATCGTTTTTTCATGGAGTAGAGTAGCAAAATTCCTTGTTATACGAGGTAATTATGTTCACTTGATGCTATAGAACTTCTTAATTATATTGCAAAGTCTTGTACGTACTTTCATTGCTTAGTATTATATATTTGTTATTTGGAGACTGTTTTGAGTTTTTGTGGAGGTCTGTTGAATATTATTATTGGCATAAGCTTGTCCTATATTAGATGAATAACTTTTCTTTATTTAGCAACTTTTGCTTCTGTGCATCTTATCCAGTTTGACCTTTCTGCTGTGAAACTAATGCTATGCTACACGTTTTCCATTTTGAAGCATGATTTATGAATGGATTAATTTCATTCGCTGAAAAACCATACTTATGAAGAAAGTCATAAATATGTGTCTTTAACTCTTCATCTAAATGTAAAGGTGTTTTGACTTTTGAATTATTTGTTTCTTATACTTCTAAATTCAAATAAGATTAAGTTCTTGCTTTTTGTTGCTAATACTATGAAAACTTCCTTATAGGTTTAGCTCTGATACTGTAACATCAATGGGCCTAGTGCAGCATGAAGGCGGCCCCTGTGGAGTTTTGGCAGCTATCCAAGTAATGGCTCCATTTCCAATCTTGCTTAGGAACTTGTGACATGCTGTCCGTTTTTCAAATCCGTTCAAAAAAGTCCCTATTTCAAACAATGCAAAATTTGGTTCTTATATTTTCGCTCCAATTAGGGACCTTCTGGAGAGAAAGCCCAGCTAACAGTGACCATAAAAGTCCTTAAACTGTTGGGCCTGTTTTCAACTTTTTTGAACTATAAGGACTAAATTGAATTTTGAGTGAAACTAAAGGCACTAAATGAGTACTTTAACCTATAAATATTAGCAACTGGCAGTGCAGTAAATGTATTTCGTGTCTTCTTTTTATGTTTTCCCATGCATATGCTATAAGTAAAACGAATTTAATGATGTCTTTTTATGCTCATTCTTTGTTTTCAACTTTTTTTGCTATTGTAGTGTTGAATTTGTTGACTCAGTGAATAAAATATTATAGTTTTGTAACCTGTGTGTTCGTGGGTGGGCAAGTAGTGAGACATGTCCATTTGTTATTTTTATTTCCATTTCATTTAATTCTTCTACTGAAACACAATATAAGTTCCGGAAGCATGTTTTTTTGTTCTATGTTGAATTGTTGATTTCTGCTTGTGTTTTCCTTTAACTTTTCAGGCATTTGTGCTCAAATACATTATTTTCTTCAGTGATGAGGTTAAAGATGCATCACACATGCCACAGAATCGGGGTTTGGGTGCGTTGTTTAAAAGTCAATCTGTTCCATCATCTAATTTTTCTTCACTCACTGAAGGTGTTAAAGTAAGGTGATTAACTTATTCCTGATCAGTCATTTGTGCTTAGCTAGGTAAAATTCATTATAATAAAATTATAGAGTCGCATTTCTTGTTTTTTGTACTTCATCCTATTAATTTCTTTGATCTCCAACACGTTTTTCTCGTGTATCATCAACAAGAATATTGATTTGATTCAATTCGGTAACCTTTTTCTTTATGTGACATAATTTAGTCTTCCTTTAATTTTGTTTTGCTTTTATATTTTTTAATCTGTATTGTGTTCTTTGTTAATTAATTCTGTTTCATTTACAGTAGACAGTACAGTACTAGTTATTCATTTGACAACATTGAGTCAGGACTTAATCTATTCATCAAAATATTGTTCTTGCCACACATTGGTTAGAGAAAAAGTCTTTGCCAATGCAGCAGTCTGGAATCATGTTAATTATGTATCCCTAATAATATTGGATGGAATGGGATGAAATAGATTCCATCAGGTTCCATTCCTTTCCATCCTATTTTAAACAATCCAAATAAAACCACTCCCCGTTAAACCCGACTAGCGAGTGTGGAGTGGAGGAAATCCTTGTACGCAGCCTTACCCTTGCATAATTGCAAAGAGGCTGTTTCCTGGATTCGAACCCATGACTTTTCAGTCATGAAGGAACAATTTTACCACTGCTCCGGTTCGCCCCCTTCAATTTTAAACAATCCAAATAATGGCAACTAATTCCATTCAATTTCATTTCCCTCCATTCCATCCCTTTCCATAATCCAAACATAGCCTAAAGATATTTGACCATGAAGATCGCTAATGTGATCATTTTGTCCCAACATATATGGATGTTGATTCTATTGTAGAAGGTTTTCTTTTCATTGTGCTCTTTCATGGTAGAATGCATTTTGTTAGCGTCCTTGAAGATCATTATTGCTGACTATGTTAGGAAAATTATTATTTGGGAATTCTTGGCAGAAATATTTCCAATTTAGGAACAATTAACCCAAAAAGTGGTTTATAAAGTTTCAAAAGAGTGGTTAATGGGTTAACCATATATTGACTTTATCAATCACTTATTTAATTATTCCTAAACTAGAAATGTTTTTCCCTCAGAATTCCTAAACTGTAAATCTTCCTTTACTTTATCTATGAAGCATTGAAATGGAATGGTTAACAATTGGTATAATGATGATGGGCCTCTCAAATCATATGGTAAGGTCTACACACGCAAGGCCCAAAAAGGAAGAGCTGAAGACAAAAAGGATTCAGTTAGAGGAGGGGAAAGTGGCAGGCTATCAATGGAGAGGGTGAAATTGGAGAGAGAGACTGTGAAGGCAGAGGGGATATTAAGCAGTTAGGGAGTATGGATGTGGGTGTGAAGAATATTGGAGAGTAGTGAGGTAGTGAGAGAGTGACTGCAAGGTGTAGTCCTCTGAGAGTTCTTCTTCAGTTGGGTATTCATGGAGAGGAGTGAGTCAGTATAGTGGAGTCTTTCAATCCCTGTCAATTTACGTTTACTGTATTGAGTTGTATCACTGATGAAGTGTATGACCATTATCAATAAAATCCTTTTCTGAATTGTGATTGTTGCTTGATTTTCGTATTACTGTAATACATTTTCTTGGGAAATTCTTGGTGCCAACAAATGACCTGTGTAGCAAGCATAACATGCATATTAACTTTTGGTGTGCATCCAAATAAATTTTCTTTCCCTTCTATTTCATCCATTTACCATGGTTATTGAGCAGTGGTGGCGTACACAGTCCTAGCTAAGTTATGTGAGTTTTATTTGCCTGTTTTTATTTATTTATTTTTAAATGTTGAATTTAGTATAAACATGAGATATTGGGTTTCTCATGGGTTAATAAAAGCTTAACAGCTACTTCTCATTTCTTTTTTATTGAATGGTGAAATTTCACGTTTTGTGGTTGTGGAGTTCATTTGGTTATTAGTAATTTCACATGTCTATGAACTTTGTTCCTGTCCAATGTCCTTCTATGTCCTTCACAAGTCTTTAATGTTGGCTGGTGTATTCTTTCATGGTTGTTCACATGCTATGGTCATGATATATTTCTTTTATATGATTTCTTGGCAGAGCACTTGTAAGAAGTATGGGCGAAATTTTATTTTCATGTGGAAGTAATAGAAGGGCTGTTATTGCAACTTTGAGCATTCCAGGGAATGACATTCAGCTTTTTGAAGGAATTTCAGAGGATGAGGTACCTGGTTATTGTACTGATATTGGTTATTTGTGCAGGATCTTGTTGGCAATAGATTGAATTGAATTTCCTATCTTGTTATTGTGGTCTACTACTGCGATTCTGCTTTGATATTCTTATCTGCCAAGCCATGTCTTGTCCAATTAACAGGCTTTTGCAAGATCACTTAAAGGTCTTTCGATTGAATCAGCCTTGGATCTGCAGAAAGTTCTTAGAGTTGAAACATACACATCACCAGCAACTGCATTGCAGAGGCTTGAAGCAATTATTCCCTTATTCCAAAGTCGTTTGGGGGCATTGCTTTTCCTAATCTCTGGTTTACTTTCTCGGGGACTGGTATGTTTGCCTACTTCATATTGCATTTTCCAGTCTCTGAGTTCGCTCTGTCTTTAAAGTAAGAGATGTTAGGCCTTTTGTTTCCTCTATTTTCTTTTGCTTAATATATGTTAGGCATTTTACCTACGAAGTGAACTACTTGTGACTGAATATGCAATGTCTTTCTGCATGAATTTTAGAATTTCACCTGATGACTTGAATAACTAGATTATTAGGTTTTATTTTGTGCTTTTAATTGCTCTAGGAGTATTTCTGTAATTGCCAAGAGTAAGTATATATCTATTTCAAGAATGGGTGACCCGGACAACTCAAAAAACAGTGGCAGCGTGATTTAGTTCTCTCCTGCTTTTCTGGTTGTCTAGGTCATTTGGATCATCAAGTGCAATGTATTTGTGCTGTTGTGGCTTGAATTGGCTTAAGTATTTTTGCAGGGTACCTTGATGTCATTCCCCACCCATGCCCCTCACCCCATTTCATGCTCCGTAGTTTTTCGGGACCTAGGATATGGTCCTGAGCTCCTGGAGCTACCTTGATAGGAAACGATTTCTATCCAGATAAGAGAGACAATTTTATTGATGAGGACAATGGAAAAGATAAAAAAAACAAGAGCAGAATGCTCTGCAACTATGGGGGGAACCCCCAAGCTCAAGTTATAAGCTTAAGAAACAGAAAACTGATCCCACGTGAACTACTCCCTCCTTACAGCAGGTCCACCTTCTCTCTTGTCTTACTAACTCCCATACACCAGGCCTCCCAAATAGCTAATTCATACATTCCTCAATCCTCACTCTCTAACCAGCTCTAGGCCTACGAGAATATACTTGTAGGATCTTGGATCTGGGCTCAACAACTTGAGGAACATTTGGGTTCTCAATCCCATCATACCTGCACCCAAGGTGGTCCGAAAGTGTTGGGTGCTCAATGATTGATTTGTGCCAAAGGTCTTTCTTTCTCCTTTCAGGTTTGCTTAAATATAATCCAAAGACGTTCATGTTTGATTCTCTGGTTGGTTTGTTAAATTTTCCAAAGATGCAGTTTTATTTTGACCAGAAATGAGCTATTTCCAGGGTGTGGACAATAGTTATGACAGTACTTTATGGTTTGATAAGCTTGAGGGAAAATTCAGAGTTAGGGTTTTTCTGGCAAATAAAATTTTTAACAATGTCTGGTCTCTAGTCAAGAAACTCTTTTGGAAAAGCTCGCCAGGCCAAAAGGCCTATTCTATAAGGATCCTGTTGAAATCATGGGGATTGGATGGAAAAGAGAAAAGAAAGTATATATTTTACTAATTGGACGCTGAATGATTGTGATTTTGAGATGTTAAAACACTAGCTTAATACTTCTATTTATTCTAAAACAATATGGAGATTGAAAATTCTACCTTATAAACAGAAAAGAAATAGTGTTCCATATTTTGGAATCTCTGTAGCCGAAGGCACCATGGACATAGGACATGGTCATGATGGATGGTATTGCTTTGATACCATGTTAAAATTATCGGTATTGGATGGAAAATAAAAAAGAGGGAATATATTTTATTTTACTTATAGGACTCTAAATCATTGTGATGTTGCGATAAAAAATCACTGATATTATCAGCCTAGTTAAACTAATATTGTAGGTCACTTACAATTGTAATACAATTAGCACATGCTTTGCCCAATAACATTCCTAACATATAATAAGACTCCTAAAACAATGATAATCTTAATATTGTAACAGATTCATCTATAGTTTTTAAGGATTTAGATCTTCAGGATACCAAAAATTCAAGATCCAACATAACTACCAAACTTTGATTCAAAATAGCACAAAACCTGTGTCCAATTACAGCCTCTTACTAGTAACTGGGATACCAAAATATCCGGGAATTTGGAAATGAAAAAGAAACTGGATGACAATGTTTTTTTCTCTGAAGTTTACCTTAGCTTGTGTGCTTGATGATTGGCATCAAGCTAGATCCAAAATTTGTATGCCCATACGTAATCTTCTCTAAATTTTGAGCTGATGTTGCAAGTTTTTGTAGTTCAAAGCTGTGTAGAGCAATGGAGCAATTGTTACCGGTATCTATGCCTTTAAACTTTTGATTTCTATTTCTAAGATATTTTTATAAAATTTAGGCCTGTCACTTTCTATGCTCCTTAAATGTTGGGGAATACAATTGTAAATTAGACTTTTTTTAATTCCAAAGGGTAAATGTGAATTTGCTTTGGTTGTTATTATGCTTTAAAAAAAGTTCTCAAAGTTAATATACGCAATATTTTGCTTTCCTCTAGGACTTGGTTCAAAGTGACAGGGATGATCCCAGCCAGCCACTGGTTACTGCTCCTTTTGGGCATGCCTCCCAGGTATGTACTCAGATATAATTGGAAAATGCTGCTATCCTTTTAACTGCTGCTCGCTTTAAATTATATTCTAGAATATGAGATTGACTTTCTACGGATCTTGTGGTGCAGGAGATTGTAAACCTACTGCTCTGTGGGCAGGCTGTTCCTAATGTGTTTGACGGAAGGATGGATTTAGGTGGAGGAATGTTTCTGAAAGGTATATCACGAGATGTGGAAGTTGGATTTCTCACCTTGCTAGAATCTCTGAATTTCTGCAAGGTTGGTCAGTTTCTGAAATCCCCAAAGTGGCCTATATGGGTTGTTGGAAGTGAATCCCATTACACAGTACTGTTTGCTCTGGACCCCAGCGTTCAAAATGAGAATGAACTGGAAGGAAGGGAAACACAGATTCGCAAAGCTTTTGATGCACGTGATCAGAGCGGAGGCGGTGGTTTCATTAGTGTGGAAGGGTTCCATCAAGTCCTCAGAGAAACAAATATCAAACTTCCACCAGAGAAGCTAGAGCACCTTTGCTGTGCAGGGTTCATTGTATGGAGTGAATTCTGGCAAGTAATTTTGGATCTAGACAAAAGCTTGGGAGGTTTGAAGGATTCATCAGGATTGATGGGTAAGAAGGTTTTCGATCTTTACCATTTTAATGGGATTGCTAAATCAGATCTAAATGGCACTCAAGTAAATTCTGAGGGTGAAACTCCACCGCAAAGACCCCGGCTCACAAAATTGAGAGTTTCAGTTCCCCCAAGGTGGACGCCTGAGGAATTTATGGCTGATGTAAAAGTTTCCTCTGCTGCTAGTACAAGTGAGTCTGCTGGGAAGGACACTGAAGTATCTAAACCAGAGCCTCCTCAGCATGCACCTTTGGTGGACTGCATAAGAACACGCTGGGCCCGTGCTGTCTGCTGCTGGTCAGGGGATCCTCCAAGTATAGTCTGAGAGACTTTATTTGGAGTCATTGGTTATGCTTTGTGACTTTAACAGGGACAACATAATTGGTTCAGCAATGCCAAGAGAAAAGGAGATTAAGTTGTCATGTTTTAATTTGACATAGTACCTCGAGGCACATGAATTTTCTCCAATATGTGCATATCCGTTATATAATGTGGATTAATGTATTTTCAACATTCTTTTCGATTTTGTCATGTCATTCGGAACGTACAAAGAAGAGTGATGTGATATTTATTGTCATGTCTCCTTGTAAAATCCATTTAAATGTATTGTTATCAATTAGGAAGAGTTATAGTTCTTGGAGGGGTTACTAATAAACGTGAAATCTGTTCTTTTTTTCAGAAATTGTTGTAATTATCGTGCTTGGCTTCTGAATATGTGAAAATGAATATCCCTCTCTCTCTATCTCTCTCTCCCCTTATGGTGATGGCATCTTTATTTTATGTGCGTAAACATCGTAAGCACGGTGTGCAGGAGTTTCTGTAACCTATTTTTCAGGGTTTAGGATTTGAAGTATATGTTTACTGAAAGTCATTCTAATATGTAATATCATGGAAGTAACGGATGGTGCAGTTATGCTTTGCTGCCAGTGTTCCACTCATTTATTATATCATCGTACAATGAATGATTAACTAAACAAGCAGAACAGCACCATGCAAGGGGTTGATCGTTCTTGTGAGAAATATGAATTCCACAAACATATTGCTCGAGACTTGAATCATTACATGCCCAAATTAGCTAGGATATATGATCTTCAAATCTTTTGGATATTCAGAGTCTAGATCTGGATGGTAGAGTATGAATCCCTTATTATTTTTTAGATTAGTGTCTCGCAGTGTGAAAAACAATTGTCATTTAAGTATTGCTGGCCTCTGTTTTTTATAACATGCAACTCATGGAACATAATACTGAGTTTACCGTGAAATATATACAACCGTAATGAACAATGTGCTTAATACATAATTAATACGTAACATTAGGCAAACTTACCCAAAAACATTAATTAAAAAAATCATACTTACAAATGATGATTTTATTTTATTTTTTTGTAAATGATGATTTTATTTTTTTGGGTCTTATGAAATGACATCAATATGACTAACTTGTTATTTCGAGGATGAAATTAACGTTAGGCAAATTATATATAATAAGCATAAGGATAAACATAAAAGGGAAATAGTTGTCTTATGTCACATAAGATAATTGTCTTATGTTGCACACTCATGAAATCTTGTGCTCATATTTTTTTTTTTTTTTTTTTAATAATTGTGGATCTCACAGCTTTGTTTCACCTACCTAAGATGTATCTTATGTAACATAAGATTAATAACTCCCATCATAAAAACTGAAAATGTAGCGATTACATATCTAAGTTAATCATATTTTGTTTTGTAATATAGGCAACCAAACTGTAGTATCTGATAACTTCAAAATGATGTTACAGTCAGAACTCAGAAGTGAATTTTGTTAGGGTTAGGGTTTGCTTCCATGAACTCCAATGTGGTTGTCATCTCCTCAATCCGTTGTTCTTCTTCATCTCAATGATGCGGAGGAGCATCCGTCATTATCTGAAGGCCACGGTATCTCCAGAAGCACAATGTCTTCACCGAACATTCTCTCTCTGGTCGATGAAGAAGGAGCCAGAGCTGGAATCGGCTCTCTCTCGCAACCGCCGGTGGGTGGTTAACAACCAGATCAAGAACATCATCCTACGGTACCCTAACGAAGAGATCCCGATCCAAGCCCTACAGAAGAAGTTCAAGACCCTCGATCTCCAAGGCAAAGCCCTCAACTGGGTCTCCAAGTACCCTTGCTGCTTCGAGGTTCACGAAGGTCTTTGCCGCCTCACCAAGCGCATGATGAACCTCGTTCACGAGGAACAATCCCTCAAGGACTCGCAGGAACCCGTCTTCGTTCGTCGATTGGCGAAGCTCTTGATGCTTTCCCTCAACAAGAGGCTCAACGTCCTCAAAATCAACGAATTGAAGCGCAATTTCGGGTTCCCTGATGATTATTTGATAAGAATTGTGCCAAAGTATCCCGATTTGTTCCGAATTGTGAATGAGAGTGGAAGGAGAAGTTCCATGGAGGTTGAGTTGGTGCATTGGGACCCTGATTTTGCAGTTTCTTCTGTTGAAGCTTCTGCACGGAAGCTCGGTACCAGGCCTTGCTTTTCGTGTTTTATGCCTTCCAGTTGGGTGAAATCGTGGGAGAGGTTTCGCGAATTCGATTCGATTCCTTATGTTTCGCCTTACTTGGATCCGAGAGGCTTGATGGAGGGATCGAAGGAGATGGAGAAGAGGAATGTGGGTTTGGTGCATGAGTTGTTGTCATTGACTCTTTGGAAGAAGGCCTCAATTGTGAAGTTGGGTCATTTTAGGAGGGAGTTTGTTTTGCCTGATAGGTTCAATGTCTTGTTGCTCAAGCATCCTGGTATATTCTATGTTTCCAATAAGTATCAGATTTACACGGTTCTTCTTAGAGAGGCATATGTTGGGTCCCAACTCGTGGATAAAGATCCTTTGGTGGTTGTGAAGGAGAAATTTGGGGAGCTGATGCAGGAGGGACTTCATGAGTACAATCAAAGGCGACGCCTCGTCAACCTGGACAAGATGAGAAAGAAAGGTGTTCCTTTGACTAGAGTAGATGAAATAAAGGGTAGAAGAAGAAGCCGTGAAATTTCAGATGCTGATGATGATGGAGATAATAAGCTGGGAGGGTTGCTTGACCCTGAAGAAAGAAAACGGTTTTATAAAGTTCTTTTTGACGATGATGCTTCATGAAATTTTGCCTAGGTGTATATATTGTGTATTTGATTTACATAATTTACGTTTCAACTCTACCCTCCCCCTTTCCAAAAGATGATTGCATAACACATTCCTCAAAAATGAACTAGGCTTGTCTGATGAAAGAGTTAGTAAGGCAGAATCAACATCTTCAACATCACCTTTAACCCAATTAGTAAGGCGGAATAATCTTGAATTTTTCATTCTCTGTAGATTGTGATGCTCAAAGCCTTCAATGGCCTGCACTCGTATTTATTAATTTGTTCTTTGTTGGAGGTTTAGAAATGTTAGGAGCAGATTAGTTGGGACTTGGTAGCAATTCAAGGTATCTGAGTTTTTCTGTGTTGCTATATTTCTTTTTTATGTTTTAGGCCAGGATATATTTATCAGGAGTATGTCACTTGGCTCTTTATCTAAGCTAATGTACCTATAAAAACAGGATAACAATTACCGATTATGATTAATGTCCCCAGTGACGAACTTAATGTAAAGATCCTAGTCTTGACCTGAATTATTTCCTGTATTAATTTCACATTATAAGAATCGCACACTGCTAGTGCCAATTTGTTAATCTTTCTTTCCCCTTTAAGTTGATTTTCTTGGTCCTCCCATGTCTTGCGTCAGTTTTGTAGCCTATGTGAAACTTGTTTGACATAATTAGCGTGTAATATCTTAAAACTCAGCCGTCTATAAAAAAAACAGTGGGGGCATTGAGGGGATTGCTCTCTGTCGAAACAAGGAAGTTCCAATTTCGGTATACACATAGAATGCAATGTGCTTATTCACGTTGTTATTGTTGTTAGAAATAATATTGTATTTTATTATTATTTTAGAAAGTTATTTGGGCTTGGCCTAATAGGTCATTTAACCTCTTTAAATAGATGACTCTTGTATAGTTCTATATACAATTGAATACAATACATTCATACATTTTAATTTGATATTAGAGCTCTTTGTTCTGAGAACTTTCACTTTCGCTAAAACTCTAAGTCCAGTGCTTAGGTGTTCTCTCTTTCCTCTACGCTATGCATTCATCTGACTTGTTTCTGCAACTGTTCACTTCATTGAAGTTACTATTTGCGCAGCATTGTTCATCGCGTCTGTACGATCAGTGGGTGCGTTGCTACTTGCTACTAAGCAATACCTACACACAATAAATTCTTATACGATCAGACATGTATTCTATATGGGTGGGGGTGGGGGTGAGGAAAACAGAAGCACCCGCGGAATAGTAGTGACCATGTCATTTAGGCATTGCACTGCTTCGAAGGAGAGTTCTCCTCATATTTCAAATCCCGAAGCATAATTTAAATTGAAGTAACAAAGCGAAAAATTAGGGATGTTCATCAACTGATCCATACCGATTCAAACTGTGGAAATCAAACCGAAAAATCGATAACCGAATAAACCGAAAAATCAAAAATTGAAAAAAAAATCGTAAATTTTAATTGGATTGGATCGGTTGATGAAAACCGATCCAATCCAAACCGATCCAATATATTAATTTCCATCTACCTACTTGGTCTTTTCCCACTCATAGCCCAAAAATTTCTAAACCCAAGACTCATTAACTCATCATCAACTAAACCCAAGAAAAAATTTAGTCACGTCTCATTAAGAAAATTTCATCTGTGTAGAGCTTCATATCTCATTGACAAAAAAAATTATAGTATTGTTTACTGATATTTTTGTATTTAAGATTTTTTTTTTTTACAAAACCAATATATACAAAAGATATTATTTGCACAATAATCATGAAACTAATTTTAAGATATTCAAAAAATCAAAAACCGATCCAATCCAAACCGAAAAAAATTGGATTGAATCGGATCGGATTTGAAAAAAAATACAAACCGAATGGATGATTATTACATGATCAAACCGAAGAAATTGAATCGGATGAGTTTTGCTTCCAAAACCGATCCAATCCAAACCGCGAACACCCCTACGAAAAATCATACACGAACAAACTCAAGAACTCAGAGGAAAGGTTTTCATGATGTGTGCATCACATAATAGTATTTGATAAAAGAGTAAAATGATAAAATGAGCAAATTAGCTTAATTTCAAATAGTGTTAAAGATGGATTTGGATGGGGAAAAATCACAGCAGTAATTGATAAGAAAAATGCATCGGGATCTAAGTGATAAAAGAATAAATCACATGAGGTTTATGAATTTTTCCCTTGTTTTTTTTTTGGAAAGATACAAGCAAGGATATATAAATTGAGCTTTACTTTTCTTCAGCACTTGATGTCCAGCAAATAAATTCGGGGAATCATAATCATACAAAGGTTAGTGAAAACATTAAATGTGAAAAATCATAATCAATCAACAATGTAAGATCGTTATAGGATGTTCAGCAGTCGGAGAAGTAATTTTACCTATATAAATTGAATCATCATTTTTGCAGTAGTGGCAGAAAATTAATATTGTCACTGAGATGAAAAATTGGACCTACTAAGTTTATTTTTTAAAAAAAAAAGAAAAAAGTAATATAAAAATCGATGTGAGAGGAATTGCAAATATTATTTCTGTCGCATGGAGAAATAATATTTCCATATAAATTTTCTATTTCTCCCACGCCATTCGACCTAAGTTGCCACAAAGGGTAATGTAGTAATGAAAACTTCGACCCAAAAACTACATAAGAAAATCATACAAGACAAGACAGTGATGATGGATGGTATTCTGTCCTAATGAACTGTAGATCTATCCCATAAAGATATACGTTTAGAGATATTTATAAGAGAGATATTTTATAGACGTAGAGTCAATGTATCAATCATTGCGCACAAACAATAGGCGTATAGCCAAGAAGTGAGTGTAGACACAAGAAGTGAGTGTAGACACAGTGTTAACCAATGTTATTAAACTCGGACCAGTGATGGACCCGGTCGGGAAACCGGGTTAGCGGGTCACTGGTTCAACCATATGAACCAGATATATATAAATTTATATTTTATATTCAATTATATAATAAATATGTTAAATAGTACAAGTGAACTAAGAACCAAATAAATATTTTATACTCAATTACATAACAAGGGTTCGATTCCCACTAAATGCTATTTTGAAATAATTCTATGAAATGATAATATATATATATATATATATATATATATATATATATATTAAATGGTGCATAATAACCAACAAAGAAACTCAGCCCAGCGATAAGTTGTTATTGGACATTCTCACGAGACTCGAGTTCGAATCTCGGCACCAAACACTGATGTTAACAGTAATAGCAAATAGGTCAAAAGTATATACACAGGTGAGCTTTAGATATCCCTTGATTGATATGATAATTGCCTTATTTGCTGGGGATAAAGATCTTATTCTATGATCTCCTTAGATTATGTTGTTGTAATATCATTGAGATAAATTTTGATTTCTTATTGGATATGTGATTGAGATATGGATTTAGTTCATAACAAATGAGTTTTTGTATTTAAAAAATAAAAAAAAGATAACAAACACACAAAAACACTATACAACCCTAGCAAAAACTCTAGTTTGTGTTATAAAAAATAAAAAAAAACTCTAGTTTGTATTATTTATTATGAGTGGGGAGTGTTAGCACTTCTTTTTAGCTAAATGCTATTTTTATGCTAAAGATAAAAAAAACATTAAAGTTAAAGTTATTTTGATAATTATATAAAGAGTTCGATTTTTCTACAGTTACTGCAGATAATTTATTTGTAGGACGCTCAATACGACATTGTTTTGGGACGGAAATCATAATGTTTTTGTAATTTTAATTTATTTTAAAGTTATAATAGTCTTTATATTTATAATTTTTTAAGATTTCAATCCCAAAACGACGTCGTTTGAGGAATAAAAGATTTTTTTCGGTATTACAATTTTTTTTATAATAAACGACGTCTTTATATTTATAATAGTCTTTATATTTATAATAGTGTTTTAGTATTACAATTTTTTTTATAATAAAAGATTTTATAAAAATTTATTTGACTTAATTTTTATTTATAAGGAGAAGACAGGTAAAAAAACAAAAACCATGGTTTTTAAACCAACCCTAACACTCCCAACTAATGAAAAATAATACAAAGCAATTTTTTTTTTTCCTGTCTTCATCTTTCCGTTATATACAATCCACATTCAGCCCAAATTTTTTCTCTGTTCCCAACTTTCCATTACTTCACCGCCGCTCTTACTTCCATTCTGTTCTCGGTATTCTCTCTCTTCACTGTTTTCGCAATCTGCGTTTTTTAATTTACTTATTTATATCTTTGACTCGTAGCTAGGGATTCTCGCTGTAGTGATCAGATTCATCTGTGGTGCATCGGAATCGAATCTTGCTGCTCTTTTTTTTGTTTTGTTTTTGTTTTTGTTTCTTTTATCCGTAAAACTTGTGTGAATCGATCTAATTCTCGGTGCTTCGATGCAAGGTTCCTGTTGATTTTTGCATTTTTGTGATTTGAAGAGGGTGCTCTGTTTGTACGAACCGACTTTAATTCTTGGAAGAGAAAACCCTAATTTGAAATGGGTAGGAAGAAGCCGACAGCACGGGACGAAGAGAACCCATCGCAGCAGGGCGGTGGGAAATCGAAGAAGAAGGGGGCCGTAATCGACGACGACGAGTACTCTATCGGAACCGAGCTTTCGGAGGAGCCGCCACCACTGGCGCCGGAAGAGAAGGGGAAGAAGAAAGGTAAAAAGGGTAATGCTAAATCTGCTGAAAATGATGATAATGTTGTTGATGATGATGAAGATGTGCCAGAAGCTGACTTTGCTGGGAAGAAGAAGGGGAAATCAAAAAAGGGTGGTGGGAGTAATATATTCGCTGGTTCCGGCTTTGGTTTGCTTGGTGATGATGAGGATGGTGATGATGATGATGATGAAGTAGCCAGTGAGCGAGATGGTGAGGAGGAGGATGAACCTGTGGATAGTTTTTCGGGTAAGAAGAAGCCCTCCAAGGGTTCGAAGAAAGCCAGTGGTAGTTTGTTGAATGCACCCGATATTGATGAGAATGATGATGTTGATGAACCCGATATTTCTTTTCACGGGAAGAAAAAGTCTTCGAAAAGAAGCAAGAAGGGTGGTGCTTTATTTTCAGGTGCTAGTTCTGGTGAGATTGATGATGGAGAGGAGACCAAGAATGAAAAGGAAGATGAAGATGATGAAGACATGGGATCCAGCACTTTCTCAGGTAAGAAAAAGAAGTCATCGAAGTCTTCAAAAAAGGCTATTAATACACCTAGTACAACTTTGGCTGATGAGGATGATGTTTCGGTAACTGAGTCTGCTAGAGGTGGTGATGACAAGAATGAGGATGATGATTCTTTATTTGCATTTTCTGGTAAAAAGAAGTCTTCTAAAAAGAAAAGCAGTAGTAATACTGCCAAAGTGAGTGATGAAATTGGGCTTGGAAATGAAAGTGTAGAAGTTGTTGAGCCTGAGCAACCTAGTGTTGGTATTAGTAATACTGTTGCTGACAAAGTCAATGTAAATAAGAGTGAAGAGGTCACTGAAACTTCCAAAAATAAGAAAAAGAATAAGAAGAAGAGTGGAAGAACTGCTCAAGAGGAGGAAGATTTAGACAAGATTCTTGCAGAGCTTGGTGAGGCACCTCCTATGGCAAAACCTGCTGCTCCTCCACTGCAGGATGATAAAGTTCAGCCTACTCCTGAAGTAGGTTCTGCTGCTGATGCTTCAGGAGAAAAGGAGGGGGAAGAGGAGAGTGTAGAGTCAGCTGCTGCAAAGAAGAAGAAAAAGAAAAAGGAAAAGGAAAAGGAGAAGAAGGCGGCGGCGGCTGCAGCAGCCACCGGAAGTGTACCAGAAAATGAAACAGAAGAAATTAAAACTGAGACAATTGAATCAAAGAAGAATGAGTCGAAGACTAAAGCAGCTGACAAGAAAGTGCCAAAGCATGTTAGGGAGATGCAGGAGGCACTGGCTCGAAGAAAAGAGGCTGAAGAAAGGAAGAAAAAAGAAGAGGAGGAGAGATTAAGGAAGGAAGAAGAGGAACGGCGTAGGCAAGAGGAACTTGAGAGACAGGCTGAAGAGGCTAGACGCAGAAAGAAGGAAAGAGAAAAGGAGAAACTCCAGAAAAAGAAGCAAGAAGGTAAACTGTTAACTGGTAAGCAAAAAGAAGAAGCTCGTCGTTTGGAGGCAATGAGGAGGCAGATTCTCAATAGCACAGGCGGCGTGACTCTTCCTGGGGATTCCAATGCTCCAGCCAAAAAGCCCATATATCAGACAAAGAAGCCAAAACCAACCCATCGTAATCAGAATGGTGCTGCTGCTGTTCAGACAACTGAAAGTGTAGAAGCAAAGGAGGCTACCACTGATGTGGTTCCAGAGGAACCAGAAAAGGTTGAAGAAGTGGAGTCAGTGCAGGTGGAGGACAAAGTTGAACCTCCGGAAGTAGTTGAAGAGGATGGAGTGGAAGAAGATGATGTAGAGGATGAATGGGATGCAAAAAGCTGGGATGATGTTAATCTGAATGCCAAAGGTGCATTTGCAGATGAAGAGGCTGACTCAGAGCCTGAACCAATTGTCAGAAAGGAGATTAAAAATGCTGTAGCTAGTCACAATGCTGGTGAGATTTTCATTTTATCGATTCTTTTGTCACTCATTATCCTACTTATACTGGAAATCTTTTTGATGATTGAAAATAACAAACACGGTAGCTTGGTGCTCTATTGGTCCATATTGTTGCTGAATGCTAAAAGTTCAATTGCTTCATGGTGAACTTGCAATAATATATATTCACTTATTTTGGTATATAGAAATAGAAACTGATGATGCTTTGGATTTTAGATCAAGAATTTAGATTTGGAATCTTTTTTCTGCTAGCAAATGATCAGATTTCTTGGTTATATTAATAGTGTCACCTGCTGCCACAAACTAGTAAGTTACTATCCACAAGAATTGAGGTCAAACCTGGCACTCTGTCAGTGTGATGCTTTTTATTTTCTGGTCTGTAGTTTTATTTTCCTTCTTTGCTCTAGATAAAAAAATGTTTTTGTCCTTCAGCAAGCAATAGATCTCCCTGTAGCATGTGTATGAACAAACTTCTGTGTGTGTGTTTGTGATCAAGACCCGGTGGTGCGATTGACTTTTGTAGCCAACCCCCACCTAATGGGATAAGGATGGTGGTTGTTGTTGTTGCTTGTGTCCAAGTGCCTGAGGGGTTGAATGTTAGGAATTTGGCATATGCTTTTGTTCCCTAGTGAAATTTAATCTTTTGTTTGTTAACTACTTTCTTGCAAATTTTAAAAAGAATTATTGGTTTTCCTCCTACACAACAGGTGCTACTAATAAAACTGTTTCTAAGCCTGTGGCTGAAGATATTGAAGATAGATCACAGTCTAATGTAGACAAAAATAGAAAGCATAATCCAGACTCGAAAAAGGGACTGCCAAAGTCTTCTGTGCCTTCTAAGCCAAATGATGAGAACCTCCGCTCCCCAATCTGCTGTATCATGGGGCACGTGGACACCGGAAAAACCAAGCTGCTGGATTGTATTCGGGGTACTAATGTTCAGGAGGGTGAGGCTGGTGGTATCACACAACAGATTGGTGCAACATACTTTCCTGCTGAGAACATTCGTGATAGAACAAAGGAACTTAAAGCTGATGCAAAGCTGAAAGTTCCTGGTCTACTGGTTATTGATACCCCTGGGCACGAATCATTTACTAACTTAAGGTCTCGGGGTTCAGGTCTATGTGATATCGCAATTTTGGTTGTTGACATTATGCATGGCTTAGAGCCACAAACAATAGAATCACTCAATCTATTAAAAATGAGGAATACAGAATTCATTGTTGCCTTGAATAAGGTGAGTATTTATGTTTTGCACTTTTATGAGGTGTTGCTTCCATTGCTTTTTATAGGTAATGCTCTTACACTCTTCTTGTAACATTGCAGGTTGACAGGCTTTATGGGTGGAAAACATGCCGCAACTCTCCAATTGTTAAAGCAATGAAGCAGCAGTCAAAGGATGTGCAGAATGAGTTTAATATGAGGCTCACTCAGGTAGTAAAAAAGACGTTTCTTTTTTATTTGTCAGTTATGCAAGACATTTCTTGTTATGGTTTGCCACCCTAATTTTCTTCTGTTTCATTGCTAGATTATTACTCAATTCAAGGAACAAGGGCTAAATACTGAGTTGTATTATAAAAATAAAGAAATGGGAGAAACGTTCAGCATTGTGCCTACGAGTGCAATAAGGTAACTGTGGTTGCCTTGCAGCCATAATACTGCTACGTCCCCCCTCCTGTGCGAAACAAAAAAAAAATTGGATTGTTAATTGATACAATGGCTGGCTTTGGAGCCCATTAATTAGGCATTCACCATTTCTTTTATGTGGTGAAAGTTTCCATGAGATCAAGTTATTCCTTGGTATGATGAATGATAATGTCTCCTTTGTCATCAAGAACAAGCCTAAACGGATGGGTCATGCTTTTGAGACCCAAGGGATATTTAATTAAATATTGAATTGTATTTACATATAACTTTTAATAGTTCTGTCGTTAATATAGATAATATTATACAATATCTCTTCATTTTAAAGGTGCCCAAATGTTAAGTCAACATTTTTTGTTGGTTTCAGAAGAGTTTCGTTCCATTTGCTTTCAGCATTTTCTTCATTATTACAAAGCATCTTTTACTGTTTCAAACATTTTGTTGGGATGTTTCAAAATGGGTTCAACCTTTATGAGCTCTCCCTGAAATTATGCAAAAAATGTTGATTTGGTGGGAACATAGGGAGAAGACGGGTGAGTGTATGAAAAGTGGGGGGCACATCTCCATTTATTTTGGGTGCTAGTATGCCTGGAAGATTGTTAAATCTTTGCCTTAGGACGAAAACCATCTCTTTTATTGTTGCATAAGACTGTTGTATAATCTGCTTAATGCTCCTCATATGGGTGTTGTTGTATTGATATTGAGTCTTTCATGTTGTAGTGGTGAAGGAATCCCAGATATGTTATTACTATTGGTTCAGTGGACCCAAAAAACAATGGTTGAGAAACTTACATACAGTGAAGAAGTGCAGGTTAGTTTTATTGCCACATAATATTAAAACTGGTTTAGTGCTTTACAAGCGTTTAACTTTTGGGACCTAATTGTTATTTGATTGTGGCTACCAGTGTACTGTTTTGGAGGTCAAAGTTATTGAAGGCCATGGAACTACTATTGATGTTGTTTTAGTTAATGGTGTTCTTCATGAAGGAGATCAAATAGTTGTCTGTGGAATGCAGGCAAGTATCTTGCACTGCATCATTTCTGACTAGCCCTCTACTTCTGACTGATGAAATTTCTATTACAGGGGCCAATTGTTACCACAATTCGAGCTTTATTGACACCTCATCCAATGAAAGAGCTCCGTGTTAAGGTATGGTTTTCAGTTGTTACTTGATAGGAAAATTAGAACTTTGCTACATAACTTTCTAGTATGCACATGAACAAGATTCTTTTTTGGTGAGTTGAAAATCCCCCCCTTCCCCCTTTATTGTTGATTTCATACACAAATGAGTGCCTGTGATCCCTTCAGTGTTGGAAGCTAAGGAAAGGATTGTGAGATTCTGACCATTATGCTTAACATGAAAAAGATTGACTGGTGATTCTTAACATAAATTTTATCAGTAATGACTCAAATCAAACCCTTGGAAAGATATGCATTCCCTATTAGAGGGCTCTAACCCTGCAACGTAAGCCTGTGGCCAAGTTTTATCAGTACACGTCTCTTGTTGCTCAGTTTGTGGCCAAGGTTGCCAACCTTGAGAGTTAAGGTTAATTCAGCTAGTAAGCTTGACTAGTAAACTCTTCCCGTAAGAGTTTTCACTCTTCAAAAATATTATTTAAAAGAAATATCCCCGTACCCCAAACATAATCTCATATCCATAATTAATGTTTAAATTTCAAATCCATAACAAAGTAAACAAAAGTAATAAAGTGAAAACTTTTATATTATACTTAGTCAGCACTTACAGTATTTTGTAGGTTAACAAAAATCAACTACAACTGCATTCTGAGGTCAAATCCATGTGTAAATCTAGTTGTAGGTTAACAAAAATAAACTACAACTGCATTCTGCGTAAGGGTGTTCGTGGTCTGGATTGGATCGGTTTTGAAGGAAAAATATCTGATCCAATTCCTACGGTTTGATCATTTAATCATCCATTCGGTTTGTATTTTTTTTTCAAATCCGACCCAATCCAATTTTATTAGATTTGGATTGAATTGGTTTTCGGTTTTCGAAAAGCCTAAAATTTCAGCCATACAAGTAGGGGTGAAAGTGGGCTGGGCTGGGCCAAACTTTGCCCCGAAAAGCCCAAGCCTACGTCAAAAAATTTCAATTTGGCCTGGCTTAAGCCTAGTATGAGTATAACTGTTAGCCTGGCTTGGCCCATTAGCCTGTTAATTTTTAACTTCCAAGCAGAACTGTGAATCAACTTTACAAAGTACTCAAATTCTGTGGATACACCAAAAATCATAATTTCAACGTCCAAACAGAATCATGAATCATAACAAAACTCATACAATATGCATTTAAGTCATTTTTAAAAGCAAAATGCTCAAACTAAATAACATATATTTCATCAGATCCAACAAACAAATCCATACTATGTAAATTAAAATAACTACATGAATCCAACAAACACATCATGATGCTTGTAGTAAGTATAACCTCTCCCAAAAATCTTTTAATATATTCATATACACAATCTAACATGTTGAGATGTTGGTTCCTCCTATATAAGAAATAAAGTAAGATTTCTATTAAAATATAATCGAATATAATTAAGTTATAAATAATTGTAATTGATTAAATTTATATCTTTTGTTTTTTCTTCAATACTTACTCTATTTTATTTTATTTAAAATAAATAGTACAATATAAGCCGGCCTGTAGGCTTATAGGCCCGGCCTTTTAAAAGTGGGCCTACGGCCTTTTTATTAAACAAGCTTTTTTAAGGCCCAAGCCCGACCTATTATACAAAATATACTAGGTCAGGTCTGGCCTGATGTAGGCCGAGCATTAGGCCCCTGTAGGCCGGCCCGGCCCAGTTTCACCCCTACATACAAGTCACTAGCTATGTTAAAATAAAGCCATACAAAGTTATAAATCACCGGAAAATTCAAGTCTTCAAACTAAAACAAGTTTTAAAATTCATGAAGACTTAAAATAGAATAATAGACAATAAAAAACTAAAACAAGGTAGTTTGCTATCAATAACATCCAAGATTCCATTCCATATCTACAAAACAAGTAGCGGAATTTCAAAAATAATAAATACATAATATATTGGATCGATTTTCTCCAACCAAATCGAAAACCGATCCAATCCAATTAAAATATGCATTTTTTTTCGGGTTTTTGGTTAATTCGGTTTTTCAGTTCGGTCACTGCGGTTTGAATTGGTTTGGATTGGTTGATGAATACCCCTAATTCTGCGGTCAAATCCATCTGTAAATCTAGGCTTGCAAGTAGAATCGAGTGTTTAGCTCGTAAACTAGTACAAGTTTGACAACAAGAGAGTTTACATGTGATTTAACTTGCTTTTTGTGCCCTTGGATCTTTAACTCTGTTTGAAAACCATGCTTATGGTTGTAGCCTATGTACAACTCTTCCGGTGTGTGAGTACGTGCAGATGTGCTTCTGGCTATGAAAGAGCATGTTATTTTTAGAAATGTGTTTAGAGCTTTGAAATCAACTTTGTTGTTGGTGAATGAAATGATTACCCATATACTCGTATTAATTACTAAATGGATCTATTTGAAGGGCTTATTGGGCTGCAAGTTCTTAAAATTCTGTAACTTGCGTCTCTTTGTTAAAATAATTTTGAGACTTCCATAAGCTAGAACTTGGAAGTGTTCTGGCAAGTATATTTGTTTATACTTCATATTGTTATGCTAATATGAATCAACAGTTGGGAGAGGTCATAAAAAATTGGGAGACACCCACTTGGTGGAGAGGGTTCTTGGATTATTTGTTTCTTATACCAGACAAATTTTATTTTATTGGATTGAATAAATGAACTTCTCATCCATGTATATCAAACATCAACAGTTTGTTTGCTGTAATACATTCTTAATCAATAAATTTCATCCTGGCAGAGGGAGTGTTTTATTCAGTATGTCTTATAACTAAGTGATGGTGGTCTAATTTCAGGGAACTTATATCCATCACAAACAAATCAAAGCTGCAATGGGTATAAAGATTACTGCCCAGGTACTTCTCGGTGATATTGATCTGACTTCTTTTTAATCAAGCTTTTATCCAATAATGTCTTTCTTAATTCTTATGTCTATGTGTAGAGATTTGGTTTTATTGTGGCTTTTTTTTTTTTTTTTTTTTTTTTTCAGGGGCTTGAACATGCTATAGCTGGCACTGGTTTATATGTGGTGAACCCTGATGATGATTTGGAAGATGTTAAAGAAGCAACAATGGAAGATATGCGGTCAGTCATGAGCAGGATTGACAGGAGCGGAGAGGGTGTTTGTGTACAGGCATCTACCCTTGGCTCCTTGGAGGCATTACTGGAATTTTTGAAAACTCCTGAAGTGAATATTCCTGTTAGTGGTATAAGCATAGGCCCTGTACATAAAAAGGATGTAATGAAGGCCAGTGTAATGCTTGAAAAGACACGAGAGTATGCTACTATATTGGCATTTGATGTCAAAGTCACTCCTGAGGCTAGAGAACTTGCAGATGAATTGGGTGTGAAAATTTTCATCGCTGATATCATTTATCATCTGTTTGATCAATTTAAGGCTTATATTGACAACATTAAGGAGGAGAAAAAGAGAGAAGCTGCTGATGAGGCAGTCTTCCCATGTGTTCTGAAAATCTTACCGAATTGCATTTTCAACAAGAAGGATCCAATTGTTTTGGGAGTTGATATACTTGAAGGCATTGCAAAGGTATTATTTTTTAATTTAATACGGCTGCAATGTATATGATGAATAGCAGTTTTCTAGACATAAGGTGCTTTTGCCTGGAGTAAATTCAACAGTTGTATTTTTGTTTATGATCCATATTTGACAAAGGGATTAGCAATCATATTTCTCTGTCCCTTGGATAACTTTAGGCTGCAGTTGTTCTACTAGTTAGAAAATTGGGAGGTGGAAATGTTGGAATGAAAACATTTTACACTTGCTTGGTACAACAGAAATGTTGGAAGATTGAAAGTGGAGTGCAACTTACTTACATTCCACCCCTCAAATTGTGGTTCTTAGTATGAAAGTGAGCTTAAAGTGAATTTTTATCCGTCTAACCAACAATTAGTGAAAATAAACCTTTGCATTCTGCTGTCCTGCTCCATTCTCACATTTATCCTCATTTTCCACCTTCTCAAACAATAATAGCCTTAGTCTGTTGATCACATTTGGAAGACTTTAGACACTAGTTTGAGCTTGGTTTTGTTTCCAAATTAATTAATTGATTTCAATATGGAGTCTTTAAGTTGGGGGAAGATCTTCCACTCTTAGAATTGTCTGTCTTTAGTCATGGCACATTTGAAAAAATGGATGAGTTGTATATAGACTTGTATAAAATTAAGTGTAGAAGTGAAATATTGTGCTTGACTCTCATCGTCAAGCTACATAATTTATCAGCCGAGTCTTTTATATCCATTCCCTATGGGAAAATGCCAGAGCTTGAATTTCTTGTTGCCAAAATGGCTCCTACCACTAGATTTCATCCAATAATCACCCTTAAATAATAATAATAATAATAATAATAATAATTTATAATTATTATTATTATTATCATCATTATCATTATTATTATTATTATTATTGTCATTATCATTATTGTTATTATTATTATTATTATTGTCATTATCATTATTTTTATTTTTATTATTATTGTTATCATTATCGTTATTGTTATGATTATTAATTTTTTGTGTTTATTTAATATATGCTTGCTCAGTTCAGATGATTCTCCCATTATGTGTTTTTACATTTTGTGCATCATTAATTTTCAGATTGGTCTTAGCGAAGCCCAGTTTCTGACCATTTAAGATCCAACTTATTTTTTTGGGCTATGGTGTTAACGAGAGTCATGTCACGTTATGAAGTCTGTTGTGTGCAATGTGCAAAAATTAATTGTCGTGTTTTTCTTAAATTTGCATCTGATATTGTCTACTTGACAGGTTGGGACTCCTATTTGTATTCCTTCCAGAGAGTTCATTGATATTGGTCGCATTGCTTCGATTGAGAACAACCATAAACCTGTTGATTCTGCGAAGAAGGGGCAGAAAGTAGCCATTAAGGTATGTGCTTGAACTGAAATTAGATTCTTTATAACAAGCATCTCTGAATTCACCAAGTTTGCCCAATGAAAAAATGGAATTTGAATTATAGACTTAAAACCTCCCTTGTTCTGGAGAAGAAGGAAAAGCTTATATCTGTGTTTTAGAATGATGTTGAAAAAGAAAAAAAAGTGAAGAGTGGATCATTTTTATATTTGAGGAAATGGTTTTATTACAATGATAGAAACTGTCATGGTACATTTACGTAATTTACATGTGGTCAATTTTTTAGACTTAGTTATTGAGAAAGAGAAACTAAAGTGAAGAGGTGAAGTGGATCATTTTTATATTTGTTGAGTACTCTTAGTTTCAGTCTTACTGTTGCGTTTCAATTTGGTTTACAGATTGTTGGCAGCAACTCCGAGGAGCAACAAAAAATGTATGGGAGGCATTTTGAGATTGATGATGAACTTGTAAGCCATGTTTCACGGAGATCTATTGATATACTCAAAACTAATTATCGGGTAAGTTATTAATAATAAGCATCAGGAGCAACGTTTATTTAAATATTTAAGGATCTTGTTGAACTGTCTCTTAAATTTACTCTATTGATTGATATAGGATGATCTTAATATGGAGGAATGGAGGTTGGTTGTGAAATTGAAGAATCTTTTCAAGATACAATGAGGAGATTTGATGTGTAGGCACTCGAGTATTCATTTCAGAAAAAAAAGGTTTCAGTGAAATGTTTGTTCTATGCAAAACTTCGAAGGTTTGTGCGGGGATGCGGTTGGATCCAACATGGTGACCAATAAGTTGATGAAATGAGTCACAGATAGAAGGCGTTGTATGTCATGGAGAGGCAAAGTAGCTTGCACAAGAAACTCATTCTGTGTCAGCTGGGAAGCTCCAGGCTAGAAGGTTGAGAAAAGGGAAATTGGCAAGGTGCAAATTTTGTGAGTTACTACTAATATACATATCTGGTATAACATGGAGGCAAATAAGGGTTCTAAATTGCATTTTTTTTTCATGAGGGAAAGCAAAATTTCACGGGAGTAATTCTTGATGTGACAAAAAATTGTTCACTTTTGGTTTCCGTGGTACTTGTGTACAAATCTTTTCCATTTTGTAGCTTAGAGGCACGTTACTTTTCGCGAGTTGTTTATCTGTTTGGTTTGTTTCCTTCCAATCATTTGGTTACGGAAACCAGCATGAGTAATGCATGGCAAGGGAGCATGAAATATATTTGTATTTGAATGTTTTGGTATATTCTGCTCTCAGAGATCCGAAACTTTTATCTTCTATCTGGCTATATATAATTTAGTTTTTTGAGATTAACTTTTATCTGACCAGCTCTTTGGACTTTGGTGTGCATTTTCTAGGAACTCCACCGCTGATGCGTGGAAGGTTACTACTATATGACTTAAGTAAGTGTTTACCTAGTGTAGTGACCATTGGTCCCTCTTTGTAAGAAAAAAAATGTAGGACACTTTCTATAATCAAATGATGACACTCCCAATCGAGGACTTGAACAAAACCAGGACAGTGTGTTGAAGCAACCATGTTGGGTTCTGTTATTGAGTTGCTTAAATGGCAAAGGAGAATGAAATGCTTCGAGCGTCTTATATTAATAACAGAATTGAGGGTTGAGAAAGGAATTATTGGTTACGTTTACATACCAAGCTGAGTATCGTTGTATCCGTTATATTGATCTGGATATAGCTGCGAAGTCGATAAGAACTCTTTTTGCCTAAAACAAAGAGTTCATAGAGCAATGGAAGTGTGGTAAATAAAATAATTGATAGCTAGAAATTAATTTAACAAAATATTATTTAAAATGTTTGTATCAAACATGAAATATAACATTTGCATTTGTTATTATTTTTAATTAAATTATTTTAAATACTTCTAAAAAAATTATTGCTTTTGAATTGATAGTTTTGAACCACTTATAATTCACAAAACTCATAGATCGCTATTTTAAATTATATGTAAGGAACCACTAAGTTTCATCAATAACATCAACATCACCCTTATCCATAGTTAGGGATGGCAAAGTGGGCAGCTCGTCCCATCTTGTCATTAACTCGTCAAAAAATGAGTCAGCCCGTCTCGCTTTTAAAAATGGGCTGAAAAACTCAGTCCGCTCCGTTCTGTTTGGCGTGTTGGACGGGTTAGCCCGCTAGACCGAGCCTATTTTACACTGAGCCGCCTTGGTCCGCCATCAACCCGTCAAAAATGAGCCTGCCCCGCCCCGCTTTTTAAATGGGTTGAAAAACTCAGCCCGCCCCACCCCGTTTAGTGGGTGGGGCGGGTTAGCCGCCGAGCTGAGCCTGTTTTGCCATCTCTATCCATAGTTAGCTGGATCAATGACAAATGAGCTCAAATGAAAAATATGAAAAGATTGAAGAAAAAAAGGATTAAAAAAAAAATTAAAAAAGAGAAATAAACAAATAACCGTATGAATTAAAAAAATTAGCAATGAACAATTAAAATAATGTGAAAATAAAGATAAATAAGAGAAAAAAAGTAAAGAAAAAAGAGGTAAATAAATAAAGAAGAGAGGAAAAAAAAAGGAAGAGATAAAGAAAGAAATAAAGGTAGATATATGGAAAGATGACTGAAAAGAGACCAGAACTTAGGGAAAAAAAATGGGTTTAACTTCCACAGTACTAATAGCTTTCTTCCAATATGTTTTAAGATAAATCATCTACCAATCTATATTTCATTTTATTAAGTTTTGTTTTACTATTCTTCCCTATGTAAGTTTTGACCTCTTCCTCTCTTTGTGTCAAGCTTTTAGTAACAAATTTGTATTCTTTCAAAAAATTGAAAATGCAAATAAAAAGCAAACCTGTGATTAAGACTACAGTAGTAATGCGATTTAGGGCCGAGTGGAAATAGGGTACCTATTTTATGTGTAGTGTCCAATTAATTAAAAGTAAAAGCAAAAGCAAAGAGCATTTGCTTGGTTAAAAAGATTCAAATAATATGCAATTACTGATATTCTGATTGATTTTTCTTTTCTATAGCAAACCCCAAATAAATTTTATCTTTCGTTGTAGTACAATGTTCTCAATTCATTAAAATTACAGTTCATAAATTCAAGAATTACATGTTTTCCTTTGAAGGAAAGCTCGTTCATATTTTGACAGCAGTATATCTCCACCAACTTTATCAACGAAAAACTCCAAGTTTTATCATATATATACAAAGGAAAATATTTTCTTATGTTGAAGGAGATAACTTTTCTCTCCTACACAAATAAAAAGGTGGGTCTCTTGAATTTTTTTTTCTTTTATATTTTTTAACAAACAATGGGATCCACATATTTATTTCTATGACATGAGATAACTTGTCTCTTTTAACATGAGATTAATAACACCTATATACAAATTACACGTACATAAAATTGTTTTGATAGACCTTACTACCTCTAGTGCATATATATTACCAAGCCAACTTTCTTCAATTCAAGTCTCATCTAATCATTATTGTAAAAAGCAAAAATGAGGGGAATCCATAGAAGTAATTAGATAAAGCACATACAGTTCCCTTAATTAATATGATATCCTATTAGCAAAACTCACTTCATAAATGGAACTAAAGCCCGCTTGACCCAATCAACTTGGTTAGACCAAAAGTTATGGCCATAGCTAGCCAACCCCCAAACAAGACCCTCACACAAGACCTCAAAGTTGGAGCCTTACCAAGCACTGCTCCCAACCAACCAAAGACTACCAAAGCAAAGGTCACTGCTCCCAAAATCACTCCTATCCTCACCTTATAGTCCCTTATGAAAGAGGCTCCAAGAAGTGGAACCATTGCACCAACTGAAAATGCTAAAGCTGAAGCTGTTGCTGCTTGTAAAGGGTTTGGTAAACCCTCTTTCTCTTTATTTTCTTCCTCTTCTCCACTTGATGAGCCATTGCCCCTTTCATTGTCTCTTTTCAACTGAGCAACTTCTATGTCCAACTGTGAGTACACAGACACAAACTCCCCTATGGCCATGCTACAAGCACCTGCCACCAACCCTGCAAACCCTGCTAAGATCATGGCCTTGATGTCTTGCTTCACTGCTCCTACACCCATCATTAGAGATGCTGTAGAGACTAACCCATCATTGGCTCCTAAGACAGCAGCACGTAGCCATTGGGATCTTTTTGAGTAATCAAAGTCCTTGGTTTCAATATCTAGAGTTGCTTGTGGCTCAAGGTCATTGTTTGGATGGAACAATTTGGTTTGGTTGAGGGATGAATGATTGGATGCCATTAGAAAGGGTGAGACACTTTAGGAAGAGATAATTAATGAAGGATGATGAATCAGATGGTAAGGTGAAAGTGTGAAGGACACACGCTATCAAATAAGGGTATTTATTGATGAAAATTGCCTATGTTGGAGACAAAGGTGGAGCAAACCCACTAAATAAAAAAAGAATTCTATATTCACCAAATGTATACGGAAATATGCATGATAGGATTATAAAGTAAAGCAATTTTGCCCCATTTATTAAAGAATGTATGAAAAAGAAAGGAATGGCTGAGGTAGTGTGGGCTCAAACGGTGACATAGATAATAGGATGTCGGTCAAATAATGTAACTTTTTTTTTCCCCCAGGTCAAGAATGAAATGTGCTTTGAATGCGCAATCAAGATGTGTGTGTTTTTCCAAATTATTGAGACTTTAGCCTTATTAATTTAGAAGACAGAGTCAGTGAACATGATGAAAAATGGGCAAAAGAAGTTATTATTAATTAGTTGGTTGGCTTATTATACATGGTATGTACATTCTACACTTATCCCACAATAATTTCTGTTTTAACTTGTGGTTTATAAATTTTATTAGTGGAAATAGTTAACAAACAAAAACATTATAAAGCAGTTATGCTTTTGGTGTCTAGCATGCCGTGATGAGAGGGAGACATGTAAATGTGATGTTATTCCTCATAAATAAATGCATCTCAAAAGTTGGAAAAGAAACCACATGTACTTTTTGGGAAAATTATTTGTCATTTTAAAGGATACAAGTTTATATATCCTTCCATCCCTTTATAGCTATGTATTTCGAGAGATATATAGTTATAATATTAAAATTACTTTTTTTTCTCTCTTTAGAAACTTGTCTACTAACGTGAAAAGAGAGAGATTGAATACATAGTTATAAGGACTGAAAGGATATAAGCTTATATAATTTAAAAGGATACACACTGAACCCATACTTTTTACTAGGAGATGCTGAGACAAGTTCCAACCTCCAAATGTTTATGAACATCTTAATTAACCACAGTATATTCAGCAGACAATAGTAATCAAAGGCAGAAAGATATTCATGAAAATGTAATATCACTGTTTTGTTCACCAAAAAGAAGAGCACCTCTTTCACAAAGTTCCAAAATCATATTTATGTGAGAGCCTGCTGTCCAGATAAAAAGCATCTCCAACAAAAAATAGCACTTTAGATCATTTAATCCCAGAAGCAATAGAATCAATGATATGGAGAACGATCTAAAACAAAGAAAAAGCAATGAATGAATAATAGAGATCATCAATGATCATCTGTTTTATCCATAAAGAAGTGATCAAAATGGGATATGCACATAAAAGGAAGTTATACCTGACCAGAAGCCCATGACTATGACATGACTCAGACAAGGACAAAACGTAGTGATAACCAATACGAAATGGCTTTCTTTACTTGCTAAAACAAGAGGGAAAAGCATATTATATTGAGGCATCTTTGTTCCTTCAGTTATAAAACAGGGTCTAGTAGCACAAATAGTTCCATTTTGCATTGGGAAACTGATGAAAATCGTATGTGTATATCAATTCTTACTCTAAATAGTTACTATGTAGTGGTGATGATCATTTTCTGTGTTTTTGTTGCAAGGATATGTGTGTCGTTGACCTATGAAGTACCGATACTCCGATTTTTTTTTCAACACGCGTATCGAAAACGTATTGTATCGTATCGATAAATTAACAGTCGTATCGAGAACATATTGGGAACTTATCGAAAATGCCATGTCGGAGTCGGTGCTTCAGTCGTTGACAATTCTAAATCATGAACTTGGGGTAACATTTATGTTAACGAAAATGATACTTTCATAATAGTGTAATTAGTGGCGTAGCCAAATTATACTTAGGTATGGCCTGGGCCCTAGTAACATTTCAAATTTTTTTTTATTATATATAATTATATAAGTAATTATAATTGGGCCCTAGCTAAAATTGTAACAGTGTTAACAGACGAAGATTTGGAGCTGCTTTGCGTGTGTGACCAGATAACATATTGTTTTCTTCTTCTTCTTTCACCTTTTTCCAATTAGGGTTTTCTTTTAACCTTTTTTTTTCTTATTCTATTTCACCATCCGGAACCCAGCCATTCTGCGACAATGTACGATGTTTCGTTCCTTTCTCAAAATTTTACGGATACATGTTCTTAGAATATGCATTGGTAATTATATTGTCCACTGAAAAAAAAATTGATTTATATTTTTGAACCTTGTAAAAGAGAAATTCTCTTTTACCAAAAAAAGAGAGAGAGAAATTCTTTGTCTTTGCTGACCATAATTGTTTATTGGGTGTTTCAAACATGAGTGAAATTCATGCCCTTTTTTTTATTTACCACTTTTTTTGTGTGTGGTTGTATTGATTGATTTTATTTCTTTTGAAAAATGGAGTGTTGTTTTACGTTTACTTTTTTTAAAAAAATTATTTTAATGCAGAGCTATAGTTGCTATTGGTAATGAAATTGAATTGTTTCTTGGTGTTATTTGTATTTGATTTCACAACAGGAATGCGAATTTTGGCAATTAATTAGTGGAAACTGTTAAAGAGAAAAATCAATGAAGATATATGTATATATATAGAGTATGAAAATTTCTTGTACATACCCATTAACAAATTCTTTTTTTCTTGTATTTTAAATTTTTTTAATTAAATATCTAAATAGTGATTAAATGATTTATGTGGATCCAATGTCTTTAAATGATTTTAGATATTTGTCACTGATTTTTCCATGTTTCTTTTTAATTGTGAAGTTTGCTCTGTCCCTCTACGTTGATGTTCTTCACAGGTCACAACTAGGGGTGTAGATGGATCAGGTTAGGCCAGACTTTGACTTTGATAGCCTAAGCCTATGTAAAATATTTAGAGTCTATACTGTCTATTAGCCTATTAAAGGTTTGATTTATTGGTCTGGCCTGGCCTATTATAAAAAACTAAAAAAAAAACTAACACGGCTTGTAAGGCCTACCAAGTTGCAAACTAAGGGGGGTGTATTGAATTAGAATTTCAGAGGATTTTAATGGATTATTTTTGGACAAAAAAAGTAATTGGTATTCAATTAGGGTTTTAAAGGATTGAAAAAAAGTAATGTGGTATTCGATTAGGATTTTAAAAGATTATTTTAGAGTCCGTCCAAATCCGTTGGTATTCAATCAGGATTTTAAATAAAGGAAATACAATCTTAAGGTACTAAAAAATATGACGATTTTAATGAATTTTCTATTGGTGTGAATTTCGTGAAAAATATAAATAGGATGTCTCTCTCACAATCTCACCATAGCATTTTCTCAAAGCCAATGTATGCTCTTTTTTGACTCTCATATATTTTCTTTTTTAATCTCCTCTTATTTATCATTAGGTTTATATACCACCGACTCCAATTAGGTTGAGTTAAAGGTGCTGTGTATATTGATGTTGATATATTTTTTCAGGTTTGGGTATTCCTCCTTCATGATTAATGGTTGGGTTTGTCGTATGTATTTATCATGTTTTGGTATTCCTTTTTCATGATTAAAGATGTGCTTCATTATTTTTTTTTATCAGAGTTGTATAGAGTTGACGATAAACATGTATCTGATCTCTAAAATTAAACTAATAAGCTTACTACATACATTCTTCGTCAACCTTTTTCTTTTGTATATTGTTTGAATTATAATGAGCATAAAATCCTAATATTCTTCGTGTTTGACAATGGTACATATTAAAAATCATAATAATTCGGTGGTAAGCTCTATTAAAAATTCTTCGTGTTTGGCAATGATACGTTCTTCGTGTTCAATCTTTGTCATGCATCATTGAGAAATGTAATTGAGAGGATATTTCGCATTTTTAAATCATGGTTCACAATTTTTAAGTCAGCACATCCATTTCCTATTAAACACAAGCAGAGCTTGTGTTAGCATGTGTAGCACTATATAATTTTCTTTGCAAAGAATGTCGTTTGAATTAATTTCCAATTGAATCAATAGATGCATCTTCTTCTTCAGTATCACCAATTAATGAAGAAGATAATTTTCAACCATTGGTCAAACCCAAGAGCAGGAACGAGAATATGTTAATGCGCAGATTACTAGTATAACTTTAGATATGTGGAGAGCTGATGCTTAGTAATTTTGAATGTTTGTTAAAAATTATATTATGTTTTACTGATTGAGAAAATTATATTAGGTTTTACTTTTTGTATTAATATTATTGTATTTCTTTGTTATTTTTTTATTGACTCGTGTAATTTTGAGTGTTTCTTAAAAATTCATATAGTTTTTAAAATCTTATAAATTCATATTGTCCTTTCAAATCTTATAAATTCTATTAAAATTCTTTAAAATCAAATCTTATGAAATCTTGATTGCAAAAAAAGTCTTTAAGGTCCCTCCAATTCTAAATAGTCTTTTAAAATCTATAAGATTTTTTATCTCAAAAAATTCTTTTAAAATCCTAATTCAATACACCCCTCTAAAGTTTATAGGCCCAACCAAATTGAAATATAAAAGTTAAAATTTTTTATTCACAAAAATCACATAAAATAAATTTTCATTAACATCACATGAAATAATGCTCATAAAGATTCACATGAAAAATTTCATATATGTATATATACATATAATTTGCACTTTCTTTACTAATTTAATTTTATATTATATTTTAAATTTTAAATAAATATTTATTATTTGTTAAATAACATCTATCATATTACTTTGATAATTAATGTTACAAATTACAATATCATAATATGTCTTTAAGTGAATAATATATTTCATAAATATATTATATTATTGAAAAAAATAAAAGGTTAGCATGGAGCCTTTTAGGCTAGGCTTTTTAAAGTGAGCCTATTTCATAATTTTTCATAATTTTTAAATGGACTTTTCTAAAAGTCTAAACCTGCATTATTTAAAAAATAGAGTAGACTGAGTCAGACCTAAGGTAGGTTAGGCTATAAGCCCCTGATAGGTCATTTGGCCCATTTACACCCCTAACCATGGCTCCA